TGACTCAAGTCATTACAACTCTGGTAGCCCTATCATGCAATGTGCCAAGATCAAACCAAATAGTTTAAAGTGAAGAGCCTGTGTAGTGTACAAAAATTTATCGCAAATAGATGCAGAGGAGTAAAAGGCTTCCAGCAGACAATACATAATATTACTGCAAACAAAATCAGGATAGGCACATGTATTTAAGCAGCGATTATAGCTGAGTAATTATATTGGACAAGTTCATGCTTGTGTAAATGCTGCTTTGTTTTTAAAGATAAGGTTAAATAACGATTTTGATCGGTGTATAAAAATGTATTTTATTATACATATCAGTCAGTGCCTACTGAAAGAAATCCTATAATCATTGCCAAAAAATTAGATTAGATTATTGCTTTGTAAATACATGGCATGCTCAGATTCGTACATGGACACAAGTTCTTCTGAAGCAAGATCAGACTCTTGTTTAGTATCACAACCATTACTTTGATTGGTTAAAAACAAACTTGAGTTCATATTTATGATAATTAACAATTTTTTTTATAACACCAAAATGATATTTTAAACAAGAAAAAAATACTTTGGTTACTTATACAATTTCAACTGTTAAGATTTTTAGGCTACGCACATTTAATTTTCGGGTAAGCTGTAAAATTAAACTATTAACAAATATTAACGGATATTTATCTACCTGATGATTTACGTAATTTTGTATTATGCTAACTTGAATATTGATTGATTATTAATGTTATTGAAGTGTTTTTCATTTGCACTCTTGCCAAATCTTGCCTGATAAAGTTGCTGTTTGATTAAATGCACCAGCATATAAATTGAAACAAAAATTCTTATTTAAATTATTGGTTGAAGAATTGATTTATGTTAACTAAATGAATAGAAGTATAACAAAATTTATAAATGTAACTTCTGAAAAATACAAAATCACAGATTATGCAAATTAGATTGAGCACATTAAGAGAAATTCCTTTGCTAGATCATTGCAACTATTTATGGATATTATTGAGTATCTATGTGAGAATGACTTGTCTCCGAAATTTCGAATAAAAAAAAGAGAATAATTTTGAATTGTTGCTGCTATGTGTGACTGTCTTTTATTTGTGTTTTGAAAGAACAAAGTAAACGCTGACAATCAACAAGGAAGATAAGTTTGAAAACAATGCCCATGTTTTTGAAACTACGCCCATGTTATCCAAATAAGCATTGTTCATTACCTGGTAACGTTTTTGATTGCAATACAGTAGCTGTATTTGCCATTCTTGAAAACAATGTAAATATGCACTACAACTTACATTGGCAAACTATTCACCGTGGGCACTTATATAGGGTATTCAAAACATTCCAGTGCGATGAGACCATGGAGCTAGTGTTCCTAACTCCATGTTGAGACACGCGTACACCACACTGTGAAATCAGATTCACGGAAGGAAAGCACTTTTTTCCTTGTTCGTGAGAAACGACAACCAAACGGATATTTTTTTTGACAATGAAATGAGCCTTTCTATAGCGACTGCACGAACCAAATGGGCATATTTCCTCATGATGAATTGCAAATCCAGGAAAAAAACAAACAAATGTAGGCCTACAAAGACGGTACATATATACATATGTATACTAGTGTACAGCCATTTTAGTGTGCTATTTAAATAGCGCAGCATAGCGTTGGGCCAGCATCTCGACGTTTTCTCTACCACCGTACCCGCGTGCTCCTCATCGATGGATCGTGGCCGAGGCTGACGGCCTGTTTCTGCTAGTTCCTTTAAGGTATTTAAAATTATATTCGGCCGAATGTACTTTGCCTCTTTTTTGCTTTTTAAGGGGTTCATGAAATGCATTTTTCTCTGAGGAACAGATTTTGTGCAACTTTCTGTTCCTCTTAAATGTTTAAAAACTATTTAACATCCCTTTTTGGTTTATTTTGTTGAAAAGTGCACTTTCTGTAAACATTTAAAAACATTTAATGTAATGGCAGACTAACTGGGAATTCTTGCTTAACCTGTTGGTTGATTTTGAGTGAATTAAAATACATTTTGTATAACTGTCTTTGATTGGCCTGGTTTTGCCTTTGTTTCGTAAAGCATGGTTCCCGTTCTGCGGTGCGTTCGCCGTGCGCAAACAACAGCTACTGAAATAACGTCACATGATCTGCAATTGTTTCTCTTTTGAAGTTCACAACTGTGAAGAATTTTCGAGAACCCCCCCCCCCCCCCCTCTTGGCCAGAACGGGACCCTATGTATTAAATGTAATTTTTCATTTTTAAAAAGTATCTTCTGTTTGTAAGATTTTTATGTGTGATGCCTCATTGGAAATTTGTTTTAATCGTATCAGGCTCCCCTCCAGAAATACAAAGTAGGCGTGCCACATCCTAAAAGATACGGACAAACCCTTTTTTTCTGTACTCCTGCAATAAATTTTGGGTTGAAGAACAATGCAGAGCAAACTAGATCAAAAGGTCCGCTTAACACTGACATTCGTCGTCCGGTCGCGGTGGGTTTTTTCCCTAAGAAATCCGTGTCCGTGACCATTCTGATAACCGGGACCTCAGATCCTGTGACCGGGTCAACACCGCGTTTCCTTCCAGTATGTAATCGGGAGAATTCAGGTATGGATGCCCGCACTATGAGATGGCGGGGGCACTGTGATACGGGAATGAACTTCTCCGGTGCTGCGTAAAATACTTTTTTTATCCTGGAAAAAAGGTAGGCATATACATTGGTTGGACTTCAGCTGAAAGGAAATAGCAGCACAGCCAGGCGCGGTTCAAGACAGTAAATTTAAAATTTAAAAGAGTAAGTTGTAGTTATAATAGCCGAGACGCGATCTAATAAGTAAGTTGTAGTTAAAATAGCCGAGACGCGATCTACAGAAAACTTTGAAAATGTGTTGAGTTTTTCCGGGGAAAAAAAGATCCCCCTTCGAGGAAAAGTGTTGAAAATTGAAAATGTCGGAAATTGCTGACAAAAATATGTTGTACAACACAAACTCTCTTGACTTTCTTTGAAAAAAAAAGATCATTGGAGATGAGCCCGTTCCCTTCCGTACAACCCGAGTCTACATGACATCGTCAGTGAATTAATATTCAAAAGCATTCCAAGAACTTCTTCCTTTTTAATTTTCTTGATCGACATCTTTTGGGGAGTTTGAACGGGGATAAATATAGGGTGAGTAAAAAAAAAAGAAGGAAACCCAAATGTCAGAACCATTTTTAAATAAAGTTCTGCATGTAGCACTTTTAAAATCTAGGATATTAAAGCCCGATTGATAAACTTTAATACTACAAGAATTATTCAAATTACTCATGTACCTTTCAAGTTAGGGAATTTTAAACACAACCACCGTTTTAAAGTTCTGACCACGGATCACAAAACAGGTGTACGTTCTTTCAGCAAAACGAAAACAATTCACGCACATCCCTATGAAAAGAACATGAGTGATCTGAATGGTTCTTGTACTGAAAGAAAGCTTATTTTAAAATCGGGCTTTCATATCCTAGATTTTGATAGTGCTACATGCAGAACTTCATTAAGAAATAGGTCCTGCCATTGGGGTTTCTTTTGTTTTTTTACTCACCCTCATGTATATTTTAATGTTAGAAGTTTCATTTCCCGGTTCATGTACTCTTCCACAATTATTAAGTTTGTGTCGTGTTTGATGAAATTGCGATATATGGTTTAATTACTTGAAACAATCATTTCGTAGTACGGTTACAAGCCTAAACCCTTTGTGGTGGTCATCTTTTAGACCTGCCATGTGCTAGAATTCATGAAAAATAAAATTTGATGAGAACTTTTCCGGAATAATTAATATATTTAAGTTGTAGCTAAGCCTTGGTTGATGGAAATTTGGAGGTAATTTTGGCTGACCAGAGGTCAGGTGAGGGATTATCATACATCCAATAATTATGATTCATAATGCGGCCCTGCTAATAAATTGAGACTTCAACATCGCACATGCACTTCAGTGATGGGCTTTCTATGATAATTAGGATATTCATATGGTACCGATTAAATTACTGGGGATATAATGGAGGGCAGATATAATAGCATCCATGATCATTTATTATGTTTTAGTCTTCGTTGGGTCAAGGACACTGCTAAGCGTTCGGTATCATATGACTTGGCTGTGCCGCGGGTTTTCGGCGATATTTGCGGATGGTTGTGGCATCTATCCTATCTATATACTTCGGCTCATAATTTTTGAAGTGAGAAATGCGTCTATATTATAAACGTTGAGATTTAAAACATGGTGAAGTGGGACACTTCCATTTTGTACAAGCTATCGTAAACCCTTTTGAAGATGTTCTTCCAAAGATACGAGGTCTTTTTTTTTCAAGACGGCAGTGGCCCAAAATATGACGTCCGTGGACTTGCATAAAAATATATATATATATACCTGGGGCGGATAGCAATGCTTATTTTTCAAAAATGTGACAAACAAGCCACTTGAACTAAAGTGTGCTGTATAGTGGGTATCCTAACCTATTCATATTGAGTCATCTTGTTTATGAATCGTGTTTACCTACCGGTACTTTGAATTTAGCCCACTCAAAATTACAAATAATACTTTACTTCCGTGTACGTTTGCTACTTGAACCATACAAGTCAGGCGATAAAAACTTTGAAAGTTGACACGATGACGGGTGACCCCATGGTGAACTTTTATCAACCCAAACTTGATGACGTATCAACCGTTTTACGTCACTGGCTACATGGTCACAACTAATCCCAGCTATTCTTAGCTACATCACATGCACATCACAGCATGCCTCAACAAAATCATGCCACCATAATGCCTGCCACTAATATCGATATGATACATTACAACATATACAACCCGCCCAGTATTTCAAAATGTGCGATACCGATACTATCGGACTTAAAAACAATTAACGAAATCGATTCTGTATTGCACTGCTGCAGATCAAAGAATCGAAACCTTCAGTAAGTACGATACAAGTATAATCGATTCTTATGCCCACTTATATTGACCGTATATATACCGTATACGCGCGGCATATACGCGATACATGTGCTGTGATGTGAAATGCGGCTGGCTGTGCTATCGCGGTTAGCAACGCTGAATACCCGATTGTTCCATTCTTTTCTTGGCAAAGCAAGCCAAAGACTTTACACAGCAGACACGAAGACGAGTACTAGAAGGTGGGTGCAGTATTGGGAGTTTCTTATGTGTTTTTTTTTTTAAATTGCAACTCCGTGTTGGTTGGTCTTGCAATTTACACTTTGCAGTCGATCGTATTTTTGATAGGGGTAATTTTCGATCTGTCGTGTCTGTGCACGTAGCCTTTCTAATTCTAGAAGTACACCCAGCTAGCCCAGCCCAGGTTGGACTCCGTTGTGTACACATCGTAATGCAATGAAGACGTCGTCCAACCTGGGCTAACCCAGCTAGCTAGCTGCAGCTGGTCAGTGTGTAGTGAGAGTTACGAGGGGTATACATTGCCCAGTTTCCGGACACTTGACAATTTTTGCCTTTTTTTTTTTTATATAGGGAAGCATAGCAGTGGCATGGCAGCAGTTATAATTATGCCTACTATAGTGTATCCACACTACAGGGCGTTATTTCTTGTAAAGCTTAGTTCTAGGACCCTTTTTAGTTTTTTTTTTTGCTGTTGCAAGCAGTGCAGACTGCAGTGGTTCTCACTCAGTCTCTTTGAAAAACACAATAATAATAATACCAGTGATGTAGTGCCTTGATGCTGGGCCTTGGCCTTAAGGCTGCCTTAAGGCTGGATTTTAGGGCCTTGGCCTTGGCCTCGAGGCTTGAGGGCAAAAGCCTTGGCCTTGGCCTTGGCCTTGAGGGTTCAGGGCCTTGCAATTTTGAGTCAAGGCTCTTCAAGGCCCATAGATTTTTGCATTTTCCAGATAAATCTGTCCGAAATTTTGCTGTTACCATTTTAATTGTATTACCATGGAGGAGGGAAGCATCCTATAGATTTGTGTGTTGGGCACACTTCCACTTTTGTAGCATCACATTTTGTTACCATTGTAGTAGATTTGCTGCAAAAATATTCCGTACACTTGTGGGGCTAATGACATGATCACTTTAATTGCATATAACTATGGAATAGATCTGATTGGTTGTATATGTCTCCCTGATAAGTGCTAAAGATTTGCATGTATCTGTTTTAGATAATGCTGATATTTCTGACCATGTTGGGCCAGCAAATAAAAATTTCCCAAATCAGTTTCTTGGATCCCCCTTTTGTTACATCATATAATTTTGTAAATCATTATTTTGTTTAGTTAAACCATATTGAAGACCTGAACTTATACTTTAATAGATACAGTGTAGTCATAAAACGGTGTAGACCTATGCGAGCATGTTGATTGCAATTCATGAAATGTTGTTCTTCGTGATGATAAGGGCGGATCCAGGGGGGCCAAAAGGGGCCATGCCCCCCCCAAAAAAAACACCCCGAAACCATTTGTTTTTGATGTGACGTCGTAATAAAGGCAGGCAATGAGTACACCACCATCTTTTCCTCAAAAAACATCGGTTAAAATGGTCAGAAATTGCCTCAAATCGCACCACAGAGCATCTCCAATCCAACAAATTTTCGGGGCCCTTAAGCGGGCCCCGAAGCCCAAGCCATATTTTTTTGACCCACTTTTTTTGGGGGGACCAAAATTTCTTTGCCCCCATCCCAAATTGTGTTCTGGATCCGCCCTTGCGTGATGATGTGTCACTCATGTGACTATAATTAGTTCTATATTAGTGGTCATTTCATAAAACAGGGCCTTGGCCTTGGCCTTGGCCTTGAGGGTTAAGCCTTGGCCTTGGCCTCGAGGCTTGAGGGTCAAAGCCTTGGCCTTGGCCTTGGCCTTGAGGGTCAAAGCCTTGGCCTTGGCCTTGGCCTTGAGGGTCAAAGCCTTTGCTCCAACACTGAATAATACTGTCTTCTTTTAATTGTAATGATGGAAAGAATATAGGAAAAGAATGTTGCAACCGGTTGTGTACAAAATCTATGAAGAGTCAAGAAAATTGTCTCATTTCTTATCATCATTTTTGCTAGTCCGAGTAACTTGGACCCAACTTTTCGCCTTTTTTAACAATCGGACATGGTCTGGTGTAGCCCCATAAATGTGGCCTATTTACTGGACTGCCTCCGTAAACATAGGCCACACATCCACATGTACAAAAACGTGTCGACTTTGCCAAATTTTGATTTTCACATTTAGACTTACTTTGTAGGTTTTTTTTGCTTTAGAAGCATTCTCACCCTCTATATAGGCTAATCAGAAAGTGCTGCCTTTTTCAGATGTCCATTTTTCGTGAAATTTCCAGATACATCTGCACACGTTTGCGTATCAAAATTTCATCATGAAATTTCACAAAAATTAGACATCTGAAAAAGGCAGCACTTTCTGATTAGCCTATATAGAGGGTGAGAATGCTTCTAAAGCAAAAAAAACCTACAAATAAGCCTAAATGTGAAAATCAAAATTTGGCAAAGTCGACACGTTTTTGTACATGTGGATGTGTGGCCTATGTTTACGGAGGCAGTCCAGTAAATAGGCCACATTTATGGGGCTAGGTCTGGTGGTGGTAGGGTCCAAGCTAATCTGTATATGCCGGGCAACACAATCCCAAAAACCCAACATTGCCCAACAAAAACATCAGATTTCACCCTCAAAATGGTCTACAAATTACTAGATACTAACGCCACCTGAGGTACAAGTAGACATCGATGATTAAGATGGTTGTACTGAAGTTTACTTACGATCTGGATGAAAAGTGAAATATCCATTAATTCCGAGAGCTCCCCTCAGTCCCTCACGATTGTGAACACGTTAAATTTCCGACTCGTGATAATGTTTGAACGACGCGATGTGGTCTTCATGCCCAGCGTACATTCGATGGTCCTTGTATCCCGAGTGCGATTCCGTTACCGAGCGCGATGCATCGATTATGATAATGAGTAGACTGGATCTCGTTTGTAAACACAAGTGCATTTCAAATGGTAAGAGGGAGTCGGGAACTAGCTTGAACCGGTTTCCGCCCATAAAAGCTGCCCTAGTTTCCGACTCCCTATTATTGTTTGAAAAGTTTGTGTTTACAAACGAGATCTAGTCTACTAGTCCGAGAATTTTTACATTGGCTTATCTAGCTCCCAGACCTATGTTCTTGAAACTCGGTGGTTCTTGAGTCTGGAGTGCTGAATGGTACATGTATACCATGGATGAAAACCTGGTGTGCAAATGAATCGGTGTTTTCATCGGATGACATCAGCCCACCCCCACCTACATGTATGGCTTATTGTATCCATGTGAGTCATTGTATACACTTTTTCCTGTTTCTGTTACAATGTATCTGACATTTTGTAATTCTGGATGTGTATTCTTAAGGTATTCTTCCTCCAAGATAGACCGGTGAACATGGCTATATGGGTCATTCCACCGGGTTGGGGAACAATGTGTGACATATGACCATATTAAGAAAAGCATGAATGCCTTGCTAGCAGTTGCTCTACATAATATTTGTTGTTGGGTGTTTCACTACTGCAGAAAGTTTGAAATGATTTCAATGTATTTTGCCAAAAATATTAGCAAAAAAATGTGATTTTGGATGTAACATTGACACCGTCTCAGTGTTACGTCCAAATGTGACATTTGTACTTTTTTTTTTAAAATTTCTGCGAAACATCACCCAAATTCACTTTGCGTACTTCTTACTATACATGCAACACAATAAGAAAAGCTTTTGTTACGGTAGTCAGGTATCAAATGGAGCAGAAATGATAGCTTGGTTGTGTGGATGTAACATTGACACGGTGTAAAACCCAATGTCACACTTCCATTGAGTGATTTTGACACCGTTACATCCACACTTGAGGTTTTTTTGTACTGCTATATTTGAACCCTGACTATACCAAAACAAAAGCTTTTCTTGGTGCCTAGGTGTCCAGTTGTAAATATGCAATGTCAGTTTGGGTAATATTTTACATACGTGTAAAAAATGGCAAAAAAAGAATATCTGGATGTAACATTGACACGGTGTCAATGTTACATCCAAATTAATACATTTTTGCTCATATTTTTGTCAAAGTACTTTCAAATGATTTCAAACTTTCTCAAGTATTGAAACACCTTAAGACAAATATTATGTTGAGCAATTGTTTAGAATGCATTGATACTTATAATAGTATAACCAAATATATGGATGTAACATGCACTGCTTCCCAACCCGGTGGAATGACCCATATACATATAGCCATGCTCCAGAGTTGCATATATAAACACTCGATGCACGAGATTGTACTGGTACCCAGACGGATCCTACCATTTCGCACCTGCGCCTGCACGGAGTACCAACGTACCGTGCGTGACCTCAGAAAATCAAAAGTTCTACTCGTACGTTTGTTGTTGTGTTGACGTCGTTTTTTTTCCCCTCAAATTTCTTGGCAATGCAAGATCCTACGCTTGCGTGAATTTACAGAAAGCTTCATTATGTAAGTACAGAGAATACTGGCGAAACGACGTACTGCGTGACAATTTCGAGTGTTTTTATGCGAGGCTGGAGTGCGGCATTGTTACTGACACCACGTTTACGGGTCTGCCTCCAAGAGTGTTTATGTGGAGCAAACGGCCTACCTAACAAATACAAATGAGTTATTTTCAATCTTGCTGTCGAGTCCATCACGATTCCCCACAAGTCCCTGTAAGTTAAGTCCATCACAAGTCCATCGCAGGTCCTTCAGTCTCCAGTCTCAAGTCAAGTCACTAGCTGTTGAAACGAACTGTTACAAAAGCATTTTTTTTTTGTCATTGTGTATTCCGTTACTTAGGACTGCACTTGTGATGGACTTGATTACAACACTGATCGTTTTTAATGACACTTGAATGGCAAATTGCAAAGGTCACAGGTAACAGAACCAGGAAAAAGCCACACTTTGGATCCTACATACTGGTAGAATGACCAATACATATCGTATAATTGAAATAGCGGGGCTCAGTGAATTATTTGTGTACTTAGCAGTGCCATAAAATTGGTTGGGAAGTGCTATCTTATCTTTGAGGATAAGGCATTGTTTGAGAACTACCAACAGTAGTTACCAGTCCACATTGGAATATGTCTGAATCCTGTGTCTGTCGGTATGTTGTGACAGTGTATTGCTTGACAGTATATTACAAGATCATTATGCTTTAACCCTATTTACCCTAACCTTCCCAAATCCTCCAAAATCCTCTTTGCAAAATGGAGGATTTTGCAGGATTGAGGCTATATGGCAAAAATGTGTGGCTGATTTTGGCGGATGCACTGTTAATAATCAGCTGTGCGTACATTCAGGCCCAGAATATTCTTGAAATCCCTCGTTCTGCTTCAGGATGTCACTGGCTCTGCCTTAACATATTGACAGTGATTGCTGGAGATTTTGCTGGATTGAGGCAGTGGTCACCCCTCCAAGGAGTGAGGACCACATAACGGATAAATTTGCAGGATTGAGGCTGTATGCAATTTTTTTATGAAGGCAGGTGGAGGATTTTGCAGGATTGAGGTTGCATCCTAGCAAAAATGCCTAGGGAGTTAGGGTTAAACTGCACCGCCAATAATCAGATGGTGTCCAGCCCCCCCCCCCCCCCCCACGTCAACCCAACCCACAACCATTTTTAAATTTAATTTATGTGGATATTGGGTGACCCCCCCCCCCCAAATACCTGGCTACCTTCCAGCACAGATGGTCTGTCGGCAGATTTGTTGTCAGACCCCTCCCCCCCCAAAAAAATATTCATATTGGTCTGACGACGCCCCTGAAAATTGGTTGTTCTCAATAAGAGCTTACCCATACATGTACTTTCCCTCTGTCTGAACAGATTTCTAGCAGGCCTGATCTTCTGTGGCCGATTCCTCATCAAACAAGCCCCCAAGATGGCACTCACCACGAGTGCATCGCGTCTTCCCCTGCACGTGAAGGCCCGTAAGGAGACGTACCCAAATTCTGATGTCAAACGCTTCCCAGTACCAGACGATAAGGTCCAATGGTCCGTTGACTGGCCAGAATACAAACCTGTGGAGTTTACAAACCCTAAAGTATTGGCAGGCCCTGTATGGGCAGATCCAGAAATAAGGTAAGAAAAAACAACTTAAGGAAACCGCTTTGAAATTTTTATTTAATGAAAAAAAGGCACACACAGGCCTTCATTTTTAGAAATTCGTGGAGCTCAGTTAATCGCTCTCCTGAGAAATCCGAGGAGCTCAATTTGAGCACCCAAAATTGCTCTCCTGGGAAGTCCGAGGAGCTCGATTTGCATGTTTTGTGCTCAAAGTAAAAAATGAATCCAAATCATTTCCTGAAGCCTTTCATATCATGCACACACACTTGCATCAGAACTGAGAAACAGATGTGACTGTTCACTACAAATTGAGTGCTTAATTCATGTCAATTTAACAGGTTTAAGTTTAACTTGTTTGTGAATCATCCTGATGTGTTATTGGAAATAAAAATGAAAAACAAATTGGAGTTGACTTGTGGTTCTTTAGTGTTTCTTTTTTGTTCTATTTTACTTCGTTTCTATTATATTCACTTTATTATATTTTTATTTTTTGTTTTATTTACTGTTTATTTCAGTTTTTATTTATTGATTTTTTTTTATCAAATAGTTTGTTTTGGTTTACTAACTTTACTAAAAACCTGTTTTTGTTTAAATTTGCATATGTATGATGTGGTGTAACTGTGTTTTTGAGGGGTTCTAAATTTATATCTAAATTGATGAATAGAGCCCCCTCCCCCCCCCCCCCCAAAAAAAATCCAATTAATTTAAGTCCGGTCATACATCTGTCAAAGAAATACTTTTTTTGTCACATAAATCCTCAAAATTAGTAAAATAGAAAAGGAAAATAATTATATGAATATTTGGTTTTGGGCACAAAAAATAAAAGGATCGAAAGTAAGGTCACAGAAATGTACAAGTATTAAACGCCATTACAAAATGTCGAATGGTACTACGCACAAACAATGTCACCGTGCTCGAGTGGCCAGTTGACCGGCCGCGCTTGCGGGCAAAGCCCGGTAGTCGACACACGGAAAATCGCTCTGCACTCTATCGTTGTGGGACAAATGAGCTCAACCTTTCGTAAGGTATTTCCAACCAAAACTTGTCAAAAATGAACGCTAGTTTCTTGTAGATGTACCGGAGATCATTCAAAATGCCGTTCAAAAACTCTGGCTCCCTTTGGAATATCACAACTTCCAGAAAAACGGTGTAATTTCACATAGGCCTACCCACTGTTAATTGTCTGGCTGCACAGTATTAGATCGCGCACAACTTGGCCTACGCGTTATGCGTGGGATATCGGGACAGGAAACCGTCGCGATCGCCCGGCACCACACTCAACACGTGTGCTTGGGCCACGTCCATTGTATCGAAAAATAGGGGTGTTGGTATTACAAAGTAGGTGGTTTTAATTGCTCAGCCCATCCATTTTATAATTGTTTTGTGTTTTCACTTCATCGGAGGTTTATTTATTTAGTTTTACATTATAAATATATATAAACTAATTTATAAACTGATCTCAACCGAAATTATTATTTCATTTTATTCACTTAATGGCGGTGCACGTCTGAATGACGATCCTGCCAGTACCCTTGATCATAATGGAACGTGCTACATGTCGTTGATGAAAAGAAAATGGCTAATGTGTCCATGTACATGTGTATGTGTATGGGATGGCTCGAGTAACTGCGATGTTTACAAAATCCTTGCGATGATTATGGGTGGATTACGTAGGTATTCGACTTACTTTTGTAATCGTTCAAACATCGGGATGACAAGTTAAGAAATCAAGTATATAAAATTTGGATTGACAAGATTTTACTGTTGGCTTTATGTAGACAAAAACTGGAGTCGACAATTAATAAGCTTACAAATTTACCCAGGAGCGCTATTATTCGCGCGCCAGAAACCGTGTTGAGGAGCGCGGAGGAGCGCGATCGCGCTCGCGCTCCTTAAAAATGAAGGCCTGCACACAGCTGGTAGCAAGCACTCATACTGAGTATACATTGTGCTCGGAACTTCTGTATTCCCACAAATTCACACTGGTTTTTGAGGTTAAATTGCCTGTTGGGTACGGTAATGTCTAGGATGTTAGGGTTAAATCTGTTTATAACACCTCACCCACAGATTCTTTGTCTTGATTGGCCAAGAGCGAGTCACATGTTACTTTCTAATTTTGCTATCTTTCTGTGCACGGCCAAAAGTACTATACCCATAGCAACCAAAGTACTATACCATTGGCAACCAAAGTACTATTTCCACGGCGTGGTATTTGTGTGCAAATGGATGCTTGTGTGCGCGTTTTGTATTGAAATTGAAGTTTATTTCAACTGTGTTCAGATTTAAATAATTTAAAATATTAAAATCAAGCAGAATCTGTGGGTGAAGTGTTATAAAACAAATATTGAATGCTTTATCTCGTGGTGAAGTAAAACTAGCCTCCCTCGATGATCCATGGACCATTCTATTTTCCCTCGGCTTCGCCTCGGGAAAATAGAATGTCCATGGATCACCTCGGGAGGCTAGTTTTACTACACCACTCGAAGCATTCAATATTTGTATAATATAACCTTAAAATTTCATTACTTATCTTTTGTATTTTGTTATGCAGAGGGCCAAATGCACCCAAAATGAAGTTCAACCGAGTAGACGGCAAAATCAACAGACGCAGTCACATGAAACCAGATTACGAAATACCTGACGGAGTGCCAAGGTTAGTGAGGACAAAACTAAATGTATCACACTATGAATTCCTTGGAGGGTTAAAGTGTTTCTGTGTGTTAGTTATGAGCAGTTGAAACGCCTTGCGGAGTCATTAAACCTGCCATAGTGTAATTTAATTTACATCTTGCAAAGTCATATACCAGCCATGCAGTAATTTTGATGGAAACGGGAATTTATTGTTGAAACATAATCCCTTTCATTTCATTATTTAGCCCACAATTATTCCAACAGCTAATTATGCCCAAGAAAGTGAATTACACAGTTTCATACCAAACATAAAGAACAAAGTTTGAATAGTTGTACAATAATAAGAGATATTAACTAGAGAACATGTGTCTGTTTTTCAACAGAACACCGAGCTGTTTTGGCGAGTTATGATTCAATGTACTTATAGTGCAAAGAATATTGTCATATGGATATTCCATGCAAAATTTAACAAAATTGGCTCTGCTATCTAGTGCTTCATTTAATGCACCTTTAATGTGTCGTAACATGACACCCAATGATGTCATCATAACATCACATAAATTTTCATCTATAACATGTTCCTGTCTATGTACTTACCAAGTATCAACCCCAATGGCCTTGTGGTTAAATAGATACAGGGCTTCATAGACTGCACCTTTAATGCTACCAGTATGTAACATGACACCTGATGATGTCGTCATAATGCCACCTGCTCCAATTTTCATCTACATGTATACACTTCCCTGTCTAAGTACATACAAGTTTCAACCCAAATGGCACTACTATATGGTTTTAAAACAGACAAAGAAGCTCAATAATTTTTATTTTTGAGCAGATATCAATTCGTACGCAGTGACAAGTAATAAGCGTCACATGACTTTTTTTGGTAAACATGTTTTTAATGCGAAAAAACCTCTAAATCCTCAAAAAATCAAAAATTCCAACATGAACCACTAAAGGAACCATGGTTAAACAAGATGATCATTAGTAAAATGAAATTTTGATTGTTCTGGCAGGAATCCGTGTGGAAGGACTGGCATGACAGGAAGAGGGGAACTAGGGAAATGGGGGCCAAACCATGCTGCAGACCCCTTAGTCACGAGGTAGGCTGAATGGTCAAAATAATAATTACTGTTGAAGTTACGTGTACGTTTATGATCATGCAGTGGACAAGTAAAAAGTGCTGTGTTAACTTTTTGCAGGAAAATATTTGATTTGTTCGAAAAGTGTCGGAATTGAATGGCTACAAAATTTGATTTTGAAAGTGATCTTGAAAGTCAGTCTGTGGAGATAATTATAAAATAATCTGCCCTAACTCCTGTCAATCATGTTCATCAAATTTTAACAATTATATAAGTTCAAATGTCAACAGAAAATCTTTGAGAAAGTCATAACTCATTATCAAAGTGTCTCGTTCAAACCAGTGAATCTAATAATTGACCTATCGCCGTTTGTGAGTTAGCCACGCCCGTTAGACAACCCTATGCAGTTTTTGTACAGTTTGTTTTGTTTGTCTCATATTTTTCATGTTCCGCATCCAATCGTATATCTTGCAATTGGACAATATTTCACAAGCTGCGTTGACACGATTCCAGCGCGATTCTACCTCGATAGGTCAATTATTTTAAGCCCAGCGGATTTCATGGGGCATGGGATGTGACCATTCCTAAGTTTGGTGCAAATTTTTTCTGTTTATCTCAGATGGAAAAGGGATGCTCAAGGGAAGGAGGTAGTCAACCCAGTAACAAAGAAGAAGGTTCTACAGTTCATTGCAATATGCAGGAAGGACTCGGGAGCATGGGCCATACCTGGGGTAAGTCTTAAGAAAGTATCTGTCCAACATTCTAGCTTAAAGAACAGTGGAGGGGCTGTAGTATTGAAGCTAAAGATCATATCAACACCATATTTTCCGCGTTTTTGTCATTTTCACCACTTATCTGATTTTGTACATCTCTTTGATTTTAAAGTTGTAATCATGTCATTCATAATTTAATCGCAAGTTGTGAGTACTATTTTCAAGTTACAAGTAACGGAATGCTAGGTCATACGAATGCCTTTGGCACTGTTTACTTGAATAGCTTGCCTTTGAGCTGAGACTTGATGACTTGCGATTACTTGTGATTTGCTTGTGATAATTGTGATGACTTGTGATGACTTGTGATGACTTGTGATGACTTGTGATGACTTGTGATAACTTGTGATGACTTATGGCGTGTGATGACTTGTGATAAGTTGTAATGATTTATGGCTTGTGATGACTTGTGATAACTTGTGATAACTTGTGACTTGTGAAAACTTGCGATAACTTGTGACTTGTGGTGATGACTTGTGATAATTTGTGACAACTTGTGACGTGCGATGTCTTGTGATGACTTGTGATAACTTGTGATAACTTGACAACTTGTGACTTGTGATAACTTGTGATAACTTGACAACTTGTGACTTGTGATGACTTGTGATAATTTGTGATGACTTGTGATAACTTGTGACTTGTGATGACTTGTGATGACTTGTGATTTGTGATAACTTGTGATTTGTGATGACTTGTGATAATTTGTGGTGATTTATGACTTGTGATAACTTGTCAGTACTTTTGGTGGCTTGTGATAACTTGTGACTTGTGATGGCTTGTGATGCCTTGTGGTGACTTCTTGACAAATCCACTTATCATGCCTTGCAGGGGATGGTAGATGCAGGGGAGACAGTATCAGTGACATTGAGGAGAGAGTTTGGTGAGGAAGCTATGAACTCGCTGGATGCAACTCCCAAGGAAAGGAAGAAGATTGAGAAGGCAGTAGGAGAACTATTCAAGCATGGAATTGAGGTAAGTTGGTTAAAACCACAGATCTGCTAAACAAACACACAAAATTGCCTAGCAAAAACAAACGTCAACTAATGTAAAGTGCTTAAAGTCCTTGGGCCATGCTGAAAACAAGAATTTGCCAAGCACAGAGATTATATATGCTAAGCAACATCTGGTAAGGCCATGTCCGAGTTATTCGGCTGTGGCTAGAAATTACACACAGGCCAATTGAAGTGGCTGCAGCCACTTCCCAGAGACCTGTGTGTTATCTCTAGCCGTAGCCATATAATTGGGATGTGGCCATACCAGCGCAATGTTCTTAGCATTTATATCGTGTGACTGGTTCTGAGCCTTTTTTGTGCTTAAAGTTGCCAAGCAGTACTGTCTGCTTTGCAGCTACGTACATGAAAATGGGCCCACTTCAATTCATTTCATGTTTTTTTAATTACTCACTCACTTCAACCAGTTCGTGCCGAATTATTTGTGCCGAAAATGTCAATTTTCGATAAAGGCAAGATATAGCAGCTAACTTTTGATATACAGCCAAACGCCACAAATCCTCATTCACAAGAGTCATTTCAACAGTATTTGTACGATATTTCTTACCCAAACCTCATATTTTTCAACACTCTGGGGTGTGCCCACGGAGTGTTAATTGTACCACAACAGGCCGTGCACAGTGGCCAAGTTCAAGTACAACACACGGTCCACCTCAACAGACTTCTCGGACTTTGTGTGTGTGCACAAAACAAATTGGGCATTAGCGTGTTTAGATGTCATCCGGAGGCGAGGCTAGGCACGCTTGAAGTTTTAACCTGTCAGCCGTGCCTGTGTATATAGAAACAGCCAGATAGTGTTAACACGTCATCTGACGCAAAGTGGTTAAATATATAAGGAGAAAACTAGAGATATAAGTTAGAATCAGTAATGGAAGTCCTCAATGGACAAGTTAGTGAATGATATACCCCAGAATGTGTGTACACTACTTCATCGATAAATTGTAGACATGTTTCCAAACTGAGTGACCTTGGTTGACCTTTGTGACCTCTGACCTCCAACTCCAGGTCTACCGCGGCTACGTGGACGACCCCCGCAACACAGACAACAGCTGGATGGAGACGATAGCCGTCAACTTCCACGACGGCACGGGCAACAGCGTGGGCAAGTTCGCCCTGTACGCCGGGGACGACGCGGGGGCCGTGCAGTGGACAGACATCGGCTCCGATCTGACGCTCTTTGCGAGTCACGAGTCCTTCATCGAAAAGGTGGCCATAAGGCTGGATGCCCACTGGTAACATTACACACCGCTTTCCTCTTGTACTGTACGTATATATCTTTTATCGGGCCAGGTAAAAAAAAAATCAAGTTTAGCCTCCATGTGTATTCCACTATTTTGGACGGTTGCCAGATTTTTTTAATTTGAAAGAAATAGAAAGAAAAGTGTGCTACATGAAAAAAATTGTAAAAGCAGTGAATGCCCAAGAAGCTTCCACCCATATATGCTGGAAAATAATTTCTTCAATTAAAGCTCAGCGGCTATCTTAAAAATGAGACTGTTTCCACTATGAAAAAAAAAAGATCTGCCACCTTCCTTTTGAAGCAGGACTCTAAACATGTTCCCTTTTTTTTTACTTGGCCTTTTATTAATGTAATTATTATTCTAATATTCTAATGAAATGTTCTTGTGGTGTCACGCCGGGGTACTTGAGTTGAGATTCTGGTTTTGGGGGAATGTCCTGAAATAGACCGATACGTGGAGCATTAACCAGTGGTAAGAGCAACCCGAGTCTTGTAACTGTTTGCCATTCAAGGCATTGCCAAAGATGGTAACACCATTCCAGAAATTTCGGTGGTAATTGTGAAAAGGTTTGTCAAAACAATTTGGGGAAACAAAACTCACATTGTAAAGGCTATAATAAGCTGGAGTACTTTCAAGTTTCAATTGTTGTTGTCTACTAGTGTTGAATTGTACAGTCATCCCAAGTTCAGATGTTGATTGCAGCTGAGAGCATTCAAGTTCAGTAAACATTGTTTCGGTTCCATTCTAACCCTTTAACTACTTAAAACTTCATGTTTTCCCTAAGTAAAAACGTGAAGTGTGGAGGCTGTTAGCTAGTCACATATAAATAATCATGTAGCCTTTTAAAGATAATTTACAACATTTGCTTTTTGCTGTAATTTTCAGAAATGGACAGATTTGGGGGTTAGTAGCCCCCCTGCCTCATAGCAAACATTGTTACACTGACCTGTTTAAAGTTTTGTGTTCATGGATGCTGGAAAAAAAAAAACAAGAAAAAAGTGCCGTTCTTGTAGTCTGGTTCCCTGACCCTACTTCAGACGAACCAGAACAATTTATATGCGTCAGGGGAATTGTCATGTAAGGGAACTATCTAGCTGGCTTGCACCCTTTCACGGATGTGTAACTGATTGCAAACAAAATGTGGATTATCTAATTTTGGAAATTGGGGCCGTATTTGAAAAAAAGTCACTTTCTTTTTCCAACGATGTTTGGCCAACCATCGTTGGCCAAAATACAAAATACAACTTTTAATACAAAAGTCGAATACAAATTTCAACTTTTCTTAAAAGTGACAGCACACCAGGTGCCAAGATTTCACAGGATGCTTGAGACTACTATTTACTAACAGTCCAGTAAGGTATTTTATAATAATTTGATAGTTTTGTTTTTAATGTTTGCAAATGTTGTTGATTACCTTTACAAAATCCCTCAAACAATATTGAAAATAGCCTCATGCCTGTGACCAATAGGAGTTCCCTATTAGATAAAAACAAAAAGATTATAAAATTAAGGTCCTGTTTATGTACCTAGTCTTCAAGTGTTCTGGTTTTTAAACATTTTAACTGCTGTACCTCAGTTCAATATACATTTAGAGAACATGTGGTTTAGTTTCCCACAAAACTCATTGGGAAAAAAAATAGAATTTGGTGAAAATGTCATGCTTGTGAAAAAAGTCACGCTCACAAAATGCTGCAAAATATCTTACTGTATCATTTACGCATAAGCATAGATCCACATTTATAGCATGCTACGAAGATGAAATTGAAGTTTTAGCAAATGAGGTTAAACATTTTTGTCCGTGTACTTTGACCAAGTAGAAAAAGGACGTTAATTATTCATATTTTTAAGTATGATGAAACATGCACGTTGGCCATTCTGTAAATTGAGTGACCAAAGAGTGACATTTTTCCTGTCCCTGTTAGGCCAAAAAAAAAATAAGTCGGTCTCCGGTCAGCGCGCGCGTCGTTTTTTACTCATGCGCGTCAATATATTTTTTTTTCCAAAATGTTCCGCGGTAGCTCCAACATCGCCCTCTATTGCTGCACCTCCTCAATTTTTTTTACCAAAGAGCACCAAGGAATGGGAAATTGCACCAAGGCAAATGATCGAGAGCACCAAGGCAAATTATGGAGGACACCAATGTACTTGAGGACACCAAATAGCAAAATAGTACCCCACCTTGTCTGTACAATCCAAGCTTGGAGGAAAAAAAATGGCCAAAAAAAAATGCCGCGTCCCCACGTCAATTCCGGAACTTTGGTCTGACCAGAGACCGAATATTTTTTTTTTTTGGCCTTACCTTGGTACCTTACTTTCCATTCAAGTATCATTAAGAATGACATCAAACAATTTGTTTTTATTTGTTGGGTAGGTAGTTTGCTATTCATAATGACTCTTGGATGACGACTGCATTAACCCTAACAATCCTGAATCCTCCAATTTCAATACGATTTTGCATACTCCCCTAGGGAGTTGAGTGCATCAGAATTGTTGAATCATAAATGTCCAGTATAACAGGGACAGGAAGAAAAGTGGACCTAAATTTATGGAATGACTGACAAAACAGAGTGGGTTTTTTTCACTGTGGAATTAATATGCAGGCTATTATTAGTGCTAAAATAGTGGGGTGTTTTTTTTTGGGGGGGGGGTTCTGGGTTTGTGAGAAGAGTCCCACATTTACCAGCATTCCTCTGTGGCAACACATGGTCTTTCTCTTTGGTGCTTCTGTCAGCATTTGAAAATATGATATCCAAATATGCCTTGAATTGAAACACAAAAGGGGTGTACTAAGGCAAAAGAAAATATATTGGCCACAGTAGCCTACATACTGTCTGAAAAACCACCCAAATACCCCCCTGGCAAAAACCTTGTTTTTGGGGCTGTTTTCACTTGGTATACGTGCATTGTGATCCACTTTCTTTCAGGATACATGGGCATGGTAAGTGGGTTTTCTGATGGACTGTTTTAAGTGTACCACATTTAGGATGCAACTAAGACTGTCTATTTTCGAATAATTCATTACTCGATTACACGAAACTGCGTTTGACTGAATATTCGGATATTGGAAACTGCCAGCTGCAATTGCGTGCTGCGCCGGTAAAAAGTTGCATGAAGAGTGTGCCAGTTAAAATTTTCGTGTGGTGATCGATATGGGGCGCTGGAGTGTTTTGCAGTATTAAGTATTTTATAACTGTAACATGGCTCTAACCTGCTAAAAGGATGTGAACAATGAACAGCCATCAACAATAAAGTGGCACCTGACAATTAAGCCCTGGAATATTACGATAAAATATCATCACAGTCAGGTGTGTATGTGCGGTTGTTTTTTACCCCGAATATTCAAACTGGCAAAAAGCTATTGGAATATTCGGTTGATCGGTAAATATTCGGTAAATTTAAGTATTCTGTATATCCAGGACAGTTGTAGATGCAACCCAATTATCTACCGGTAGCATCAATCAGGACTTATCTTTTCAACTTCTCAAATTACATGTAGTTTCAAACTAAATAAACAAAATGTGAAAAGTCGTACAATACCGTTTTTTTATGTGTTAATTTAATATGATAAAAAAATTGCATTGAAATTTGTGGTAGCGTTAGATCGTGTTTTGTACATTTGTGGGTTTTGATACAATATATTTTAGCCAAAGACATAATCTAAAACCAAGATATGGATTTTTTTTGGTTTTGCATGTTTATTATTATGCAAATCTCAATAATTTGCATTAACCCCCGTTATGGCTAAGCCTAGTTTGAACTTTATTTACCGACACATTCCGAGTGACCTAGTCACAAGTTTTGTTGGTTGTTTCTCCAGCAGCTTGCGTTGAAGATTGACCAAAGATAGACTCGAACCTGCAACCTTTGTTATAACATACCAGGGCTTTACCAAGTGAGCCTTCCGGCCCTACATTATGTTAATGAACTCTTGAATTGTCATAATTGTTGGAGGGGCAAAGTCGTTGAATCACCTGCACCCGCCATTTTGAAAAGATTTTTGACCGACTTTCTTCGGAATCGTGCGGCAACTCTAAAAACTTGTCAGAAGTAAAATAGCAATTTTTTTTTCTTCAAACACAAAGCTGTGAGTTCTTGTATCAACCTTGATAAGTTGTGCAGTAACAGGCTCCACGACGATCACGATTTGCTGGTAAAATAGGTCATTTTGAGTCGCCACACGCCCACACTACATTTTTCTCCACCTAAAATGATTCTGCAAGTTATGCAATAATTTGTGGCGTAAGTCGCGGACTTATGCGTTATGAAAGTTTTTGTTAAAATGTCACAACTGAAATGATGGGCAGCAATAAATTGTGGCACAAGTGGACTTATGCCATTGTGTAAACTGTCGTGCAATCAGCTGCTGGTGTGGTTTTCAGGATGTTACAGGTTCGAATCCAGCTTTAGTCAGTTTTGCATTACTCAACAGAAACCTTGCTAAGATATGTGCGTGGTGAGTTTTTTTCTTGTGCTCTAAAATTATTTAAAATTATACCATTTTGTATTTTAATAGTCACTTATTCTTGTTTGTGTTGCAATTTTTTTTCCCTTCAATAATTTTCTAAATGTCATTGGAGAAGTAGGGTTACAATTTTTAAATGTAACCACCACTTACGAAAAATGTAGTGGGTCTATGACACTATGAGGCAGCAAATGTCTGAAACGCTTTTATGCCAGACAAAATGTCAGAAATGTGGACAATTCTTCAGTTTCGGACATGTTGTCTGGGACAAAAGCGTTTCAGACATTTGTGATTCTTAGTGTACACATGTAGTTGTCGAAGTAAACACGTCGGGAATATGTTCACTATGGACTTTCTTGGCAAACTGAAAAGGGTCCTGTTTGGATGTGATCTAACATTGTGCTGGTCAAAGGCCAAATATTTGTGTTTTGTCACGCATATAACCAAAAATTGATTCAGTTGTTTGCCATATGGCTGAGTATTTTTGCAACTTCAGTTGGGTTTATAATTACTCATGATTACAGCACTTCTCGAGTGGCCAAAACGCGTAATGATCCATGATTAAGAAATAACCAAATCAGTTTAGGTTACGAGTGCCAAAACGTCCCGGAGTTTTGAGACTGAAACCAGTCAAAAAGGTTGAGTAAAAGTAGTTTTGGGACTCTCATACACAGTCTTGAGAGACCCAAATTTTCGGACTAGTAAACGCCCAACAATGACAGCAATTGTTTGTTGTGCATCGAAGTCTCTGCTGCAATATCACTATTCTACTCTGTTCTGTGTCACTAGAAAAAAAGTTAGCAAATGTTCTTTATTTTAAAAAAGTTCTTGTAGCTGTAGTTCTGGAATTCTCGACTTTTTGAAAAGACAGTATACTTATATGAAAATTTATTGTAAGGGAATCCTAAAGTTTTATTTGAATTAACTTTTGTGGACATTTTTTGAGTTTTGTGAAATATTACAGACTTTTCATGTAAACACCTATTACCCCATCAAAAAAAAAAAAATAATCAGCTCTCTTCATATTTTCGGATATAATTTTTGTTAATCCCTTCAAATGATTGAGAAATATATATGTATTTAAGGACAGCATTGTAATTTGCCAAAAGTGAAGATTATGTCACAAAGTACTAAAATGTAGTAAAAGCTAATGACCACGAAGCAGTAATCAGTGATGTTTTAAATTTTATAGTCGAGCTGAACTGTCGAGATTGTACAAAATTAACAGCCTTAATGGCGGCGTCTTATCTTTCTATTGCTGAAATTGGATCAATTAAACTATGTGTATTGAGAAAAAGAGGAACACATTTGTTTAGGTCTGTTGATTGTTGTGTTTTGAACTATTGTATGTACACCTTATATGCAAATATCCAGTCCAACCTAATGGTCTCCACTCGTAACCCCCCCCCCCCCCCCCCAACCAGCCTCCCCTCCCCTTGCCCAAATTCAGGTGATGCTATACCTACGTGGGAATGTTGTGAATTGTTGATCTCCATGCAATTCATTTCTATTATTTACGGAATTGCAACAGGAAATTCACACCCTCCCCTCCCCCCCTCCCCCCCTCCCCCCCCCCCCACCCCCCAAATGCAAGTATGCCCCTCAATTTTCAAATAGATAACATCAATCATCATTGAATAGATTGGCAATATGGATGGGAACTTTCATGGTTGTTGCGAAAATTGCTTGAAATTGTATGGTTACACTGTATTGGATTTCCTGCAACACTAAACAAAAACATTTTTTTTAAATTATCTTCGGATGTCAACGTTGAGGGCGCTATTATTATTCATCATGGCGGCGCCCATGTCACTTGCTGGGAAAGTGGCCGTCGTGACGGGTAGGTTGAGTTTTTTGTCCTTTTAGGATTTCTCTCTCAGCATGTTCAGGCTCCATGATGATTGATGAGGTGCAGCATCTTTGAGTCAATATCAGAGGACGTTTGACCATTAATGCTAGTGTGACTCACGGAAAGATTCCCATATCTGTCCATCATATCTTGACACCCTGCATGCCCTGTCATGCCTGTAGTGTGCACAAACCCCTTCTTCTATTCCTTTTTACTACTGCTACATTGGTGTATGTATATGTGAATTTGTCCATGTCTGACGTTTTTTGTGTGATAATGAACAAAATGTAGATGTTTTTATTTATAAATAAATGTAATTTCTTAATGTTCTTATTGTATCACTGATGTGAATAACAATAAAGGTATTTCAATATATAATGGACTGGTCTGAAAATTTCTAAGTCAAAAGTGTTTTCTTAGTAAAAGTTCGAACTTTGTCCCTGATAATTTTGACTTTTTAGGGCATATTATCACTTTTCGATGGCTGATAGGTCATTTACGGGAAAAAAATACTGATGGCTATAGCTGCCTTGAGTAACTCCAGCTGACATGCTCATATTCATTCACATGCTACATCAGTACATGTGAATGAATATGAGCATGTCAGCTGGAGTTACTCAAGCTATGATGGCTAGATAATGGGAATCTTTCCGGGCCTAAGAATTGATGCACCCTGAATGCGCAAAATCATGTTTCCTTGCAGGGAAAAGTTCCATACTCGGACGTCAATTTATCTGCTGCCAAACAAATTAATTGTCACCTCACCTTGTCATTTGAACCAAGAGAAATCCAGGAAGCTGTGTTAAGGTGAAACAAATTTACTCAAAATGTGTTTTTAGAGCACATTTTGGATGCATACGTCGTGCAGAACTAACTTGAAGCAGCCGGTCAAAACTGATTGTAGTGGCTGAAAGACAGCGGTACGTTATACACGTGACATCAACAACCATGACGTCGCATGAGCCTGCCAATGATAGTGCAATACGTCATTATGAATATTTATTTTCTCATGAATATTTAGTTTATTTCAATGGATACTTCTAATACGTCCAAAGATTGATTATTGCAACAGCGATCGTGCGCGGCCTAGCGGTTAAGAGTCTCGTGTATCAAGCAAGCGTCAGAGGTTCGAATCCCGATGAAGTAACTAGAAATTAAGGAAAGGAGAGGGTGAGAGTAGAGGAGGGAAAGTGGAGGAATAACCATAAAAGATGTAACTTTTGGCGCTAGAAAATTAATTGAAAAAAGTGACGTCCGAGTACGGAATTTTTTCCGATTTGCATGGCATCAACTTTACTGAAAAGGAAATTTGGAGAGAGTTTGTCCAAAATGACTGCAGAATGTTTTTCAAGGTCAATGACTGCAGAATGTTTTTCAAGGTCATGGATATTATAAAATGAACGTTTTATGTTGCCTGATTATTAACCAGCTTCTATCTAGCTAAAACTAAAAGCAATACTAGCAAGACAGAAAAAAAACAGTATAGATTTCAAGACAAGGAAATACAACTTTACAGGAAATTTCAGCATGCATCGCCGTGCAGCTCTAAATAAGTTCAGTATCTGAGATATTCCCTTCCCCCCCCCTTTCACTTTTTTCAAATTTGCCATTAAGAAGCTAGGCAGAGAAATACAGAATGCACCATTGTCATTCAGTTATACTGTTTTATACTTTCAACCACCGGGGAGTCAAGTCAACTGTTCCTACTACTTGCTTGAGCTTGTTTCATGATTGGTTTCTTCTTGTGTTCCACAGGTGCCAGCTCTGGTATAGGCTGGGCCACCAGTGTGCTGTTTGCAAAGCTGGGAGCAAAGTTATCAGTCACTGGGAGGAATGCCGCTAACTTGGACAAGGTGGCCAATATATGCCAGGACAATGGATCTGATCCGGTGAGGAGAAAGTACACATGTCAGACATCTTGTGCATAAAAATCTGACATTAATTCATGGCTGTGACAGTCAAAACGCCATTGAGCAGGGATTAAAGGGACATTGCGGCCCTTAACACGTTTTAAACAATATGATATTAAAGCTATAGTCCATCATTTGCAGCCATCCGAAAAGTAACTGGCGTAATTATTGTTGAAAAACATACTTGGTTGAAAGATAGTAAGTGGACTAAACTCCCTGTGAAATTATTCTTTCTGGCAAGCTGTCTTAAGACACACCGTAGGAAAATTTAAATTAGTAGTTCGTTTTGTTATTCGGCGAAGCGCGCGCAAGCATTGGCACGACGCACACGCGCGTGCAGTTTGCTATAATTCGTCGGATCAGTGCGCGACATCGCGTATAGCTGTAATCGGCTCAGTGAGAACGTGTCTCGGACGCTCAATTCCGGCCCAATTCAAAACATGATTCAGCAACTTTTGATTTGAAATTGAGATCCTAGAATGCTGTTTTTATCGGAATATACAGCTGAAGCTGAGCTGAAACTTCATCAGAATAGTTGTTCAGTATCCTTCATTAGATTTTGAACACTTTTGTTGCTTCAAACGAACAAAATGCACAAATTACAAATGATGGACTATATTTTTAAATGGAAAGAGCATTTAAAAGTAGAATATAAAGGTTTTTGTGTTATTCTTGCGAGAACCATGTGAGAACGAATTTCGGGGTCACAATTTTGTCCCCGAAAAATTGAGCTGTTGATGCTCGATGTGAATCCTGCCACACAGTGATTCGCATTCTTCGGACGTGTAAGAAGCAACATTTGTGTATTGCTGCTGTGTGTATTATGTATCACACACACACAACGTGAACGATACATGGACCACATATATATTTCACCTCTTTTTTTTATTCACCAGTTGGTTGTTACTGGGGATTTGACTAATGAGGAGGACAACCACAATCTCATTCAGAAGACACTGAAACACTTTGGCAAGTTAGACATCTTGGTAATAACATCACCAGTCTTTTCTTTAAAGTTCAAGATGAGATTTGAAGGTTTGCATGGTGGAAAGATACTAAGACATGATAAGTTTGTGGTAGCACCATGTGAATATATCTCTTTTGTGAGTATGTGTGGTTCTGAAAAGAACTGGAGGGACTCAACATTTCGAACAGTGTGCTCTGCCCGTTGTCAGGACAACGGGCAGAGCATACTGTTCGAAACGTTGAGTCCCACCAGTTCTCAGGCTTTTCAAAACCACACATACTCACAAAAGAGATTCAAATCGAGAGTTCAAATCATCTACTTTTAAAAAAATTAATGGTGAGTTGGTGTCCCATTATCTCTGAACCAAAGCACAGCCTTTCAGTTATTCCTACTCTTTCCTTGTTTGTTTACCTTGCTGCTACTTGTCCTACTTGTTTCTTGAAATTCTCACTTTTTCCTACTTTTTTGTCCCACAACTCAAATTCAAAAAGAGTTTCTGAAAGTCAAGGGTAAAAGTTATTATAATCTTTATGGAAAATTAAAAGTTACGATCAGTTCATTAAAAAACATGTTTGAACAAGACAAACAAACTGAGGTGTTTTTTTGAGATTTATGCTGTGTTATTTTGTTTTTGTTTGTTTGTTTTCTTTTCTTTATAAATCATACTTTGTTGCCAAGGGCCTTAATCAAGTTGAAATGCAGCAACATCCTGGAATTATCATCAAAGGGAACTTTTTGCGAAAGTCAAATTACATCTACATTGACCACAGATTAAAATTTAATTTAAATAAATAACCAAAAGAATTAGAGTTCCATTGTGTGTTTCATCAGGTGAACTGCGCTGGTATCATATCAATGGGAACCATTGAAACAACAAGCATGGAAGCCTACGACACCATGATGAATGCAAACGTCAGGTAAATGCAACACTCCCATATATTCCTTTGTCTGTCATTCACTGGTTTCACTGTATTGAGCCACAGCTTTCTTGAATTCTCTGAATTACTGGATTATCTGTGTACTTGACAGTGACCGTTGATTGAAGTCAGCATACATGTACAAATTTGACAATTGATTTTTATAATAATCATAATACAGAGATACCACTTTTCAGGTTTTAACCTGAATTCAGGTTGTTGTTTGTTTTTCAAAAAGTGTGACAAATTAAAAGTGCTGGATTTGGTCTGAAACATCCAGAAAACACATTTTTTGAAGGGGGTAAGGATAGTTTCAGGTTTTTTTAGTAGTGTTTCAGGCTTTTTATTGATATTTTGGTGGCATCTCTGATAATAGATTACCAAATTTCCAAACTGCTCCCAATAAGAAGAACTTTTCCTGGTAGTCCAGCGGATATGTGAAACAATTGTGCAATTTTTCAGAAAAGCATGAAACCTCGCAGAGACATTTAGTTCATGAGACAAATTATTTCAGTTGTGGAGTCATCGCAAACTGAACCTTTTAGAGGTTCGTTAGCCATTTTGAATTTTTTTTTCGGGGGGGGGGGGGGGGGGGGGGGGACTCATTGTGCCCTTCGTTGCAATTTTCATATTTAACAATTGTTGACTGCTGTGATGTGGGATATGACGTTTTGAACACTCGATGGGTGCATGGCACCCGAGGCAAAGTCAACAATTGTTTTGTTATACCTCTGTCTTGGATTCTTTGGATTTTGACAATCATGACAATCAAACGCCAACTCACATGCATGTCGCATGCTCGAAGTGTGAAAACGTGGTGAAAATAGCGTGGGTACCAACGATACAAGCGTTTATTCATGTTTAGTTCCATTATTACCCACCGTGTACGAATCTAATTATATTTTTAATAGTCTACTTTCAGGGAGCATCAATCCCACATTAAGCAATAATTGCTGGGCTCTTCCTTTTTTAAATCCTGCTCTGAAGCCTTCCAAAACCTTCTTGTGTATTTGGAAGGTTCCCAGAGACTTAGATTTATCTCACTGAAGGGCATTATTTCTGATTGTTAACCAGGTCAATATTTCATTTGACGTCGCTGGCTGTGCCCCACCTGATTGAAACGAAAGGCAATATCGTCAATGTCTCCAGTGTCAACGGTCTCCGGGCGGTGAGTAGCCTTTAGAATGCTGACCCAAAATACAAGCCTAATCAGAGAATTTCTCTTGGCAGACATAGTGGTACATTCCCTGCTATTCACTTCTAGTGACCACGGTTCGAATCCTTACTCAGTGCAACATTGGATTTGTTGTGATTTTGAGAACAGTTTTCTTCTAAGAATGAACTCATTGTTCTTCCCTGCCGCAAGCTGATTCCTTCATTTTCTTGTCTCAAAAACAAAGTTCATGGCTGCTTCTTCAGAGAAACATTTCCTTAAGGGTTCTTATTAGCCTATCACAGTAAAGAATTAAATAGTGCGGACCCTTAAAGCCAAAATATTTGCCACTATCAAACATCCAGTTTTGCACGATTTTGATGATTTACCCTATTCAAGAGTGCCATTGGTTTAATACCACACGTTGATCAGGAATGCCAGTTTTCAGGCTAGAGCCTGAATTCACGCTTTCCATCCCTTCACGGTCATGAAAAATAAATCCTTGTGTAGCATCCACAGGGGAAAAAATTGTGCATGCAGTGCCCCATACATGTAGCAATTGCCATGCTAGCTGGATACACGAATGCATCTATTGTAAGTTCAAAGTAGACGTACATGTACATGATGCACACGTGTGGTAATGCAACGTGTATACGGTGTATTGCAATCGTTTTGTGCATTTGCCTATCTTTCACGTGTCAAATTTTTCAGGTCCTGCAGCAAAAACGCACCGGCATCCCAGATTGATGTATTTTGAAGTATTCAGGAACAAAATTGTAACACAATTTCCCTTCATCTTTCTGTCTCACTTTCCAATTATTCCAAAAAAGCGTTATGAAGGAACACTCACAAAATCCATTCATCGTTTTTCTGTTTGGTTAATTAAATTTGTGTTCACCTTTGAATAACAGTTCCCAGGAGTCTTAGCATACTGTATGTCCAAGAGTGCTCTCGACCAGTTCACCAGAGTTACTGCATTAGGTCAGTATTTGCAAATATAATATACATGTAGGTCAGTATATGCAATGTTAAAGTTGCTTTCCCCTTGCTATTTTTCAGTTTCATCCCCATAAAACAGATTCTTTTTCTAAATTGCTATATTCCAGATATGCAAAGGTTATTCAGTTTTAAAAGAGACATCGACTGAGAAAAAAACACCCCATGTTTAGTTATTGAAACTTTACCAGTTTCAAAGAGTTGGCTGCCAGACAATCATTCCTTCTTGCGGGGTAGGTTGGCCCCCACCCCACAATCAGTATCAATAATGACGGACCAGAAGCCACTCTACTTGCAAATTGGAACGGTTTGTGCCCTAAAACAAAAAAACCTTTTTTTCAAAGGGTTGCAGCCGTCCATAGAAAAAAATGTTTGGTTAAAATCAAGTATAAAAAATCCAATTTACTGAAGAGCAGGGAAACGCATCTTTAATTTTTGGTTGCATTTACAATAAAGTTGTTTAGATTTTCCTTTTGAGTCTTAAAACTGAGTCAAAACAGCAACATTAAGAAAACCCAAAGTCCACTTTTAGAAGTGTTCATTGTTCAATACGAGATGAGCCTTTTATTTTCAACCATTAAAGTAGTGTCATACAGTTTTTTACTAGGTGTTTCAGATATGAACTTTAAAAGGGGTCTGTGGAAATTATTAGGTGTTATAAAGTCCTTTGTTAATCACCAGCAGTTGGATTTCAATGCAAATAAAAAGAAAAAAATTTCTTATATTTTATCCCATATTATTAATGCATTGCTATTGTTTTTTATTTTGTTTTCAGAGCTGGCGCCAAAAGGAGTGCGTGTGAATTCAATAAAGTAAGTGTACAGCAAACTAGATTTATTTACACTAACAGTGGCGTCATCAACCTACCTGATTTTGTTGTTGAATCGTATAAAATTTTGAATTACAAAATTGTATTTGTTACTATTTCTTTGATAGCCCCGGTGTAATTGTAACCAACTTGCAGAAAGCTGGAGGTCTTGATGATGAAGCTTATGCAAAGGTTTGTCACCTTATTTATCGTCTTAACTCGGAGGGTAAAGAGTTGTTATCGAGAAATATTTCTGGTTGTTTTCTTTCCTAAAGTCTTTGCCCTCACGTAGTGATCTGCTATTTCCCGGGTTGACAGAATTGTTCAAGTTGCAGAATTTATACTTCAGTATTTATACTCCATTCATAAATACCTGAGACAGTTTACCCATTCCTTTTGGTCGAGAGCCCGTCACGTGGTCAGTTTTAAACGGTTGATAAAACACAAACTGGTTTTAAACACTTTCCGGTGTCACATGAATTAGGACTCCTATGAAATCTGGTCCCTTTAATTCTTTTATTGGTTGAAACCTCACAATCTTCACTTAGGCATGTGCAGTACCACCAATGAGTATTTCGAAGTGTTCTAAATTCACTCTTTACCGGCACTGCCACGTTTTTGCACCACATTGTGTAGTATGTGCCACACGCGAGCCAATCTCCATATAAGGAGAATTTTAGTACTACTCGCGTGAGGCAAATACCATAAACATAGCTAGAGGGGTGTTTCACAAAACATAAAGTAAAATTGTTGAACAAAATTGTTGGAATTTTAAAATTTTTGACTAGATTTGACTTTCTGACTGAAAGGTATTGATGAATGGGAGTAAATATGTGCTTGGCCGATAATGGCCCTCGCCTTTGGCTGGGGCTATTATCCACGTCTAGGCGCCAAGCGGGGGTAAATGTACTTGTTTAAGTACTTTTGTAATATTCACCCTGTACCTTCATCACCAGTTTGGAGAAAAAAAATTCACTTAAACTCCAAAAAGCCACTTTAAAAAAACAAAAAACTGACCAAATGAATACATTTTTCCCCACAAATTGTCATGTGCAGTTTTTAGAACGCACAAAAACCACTCACGCCCTCGGGCGACCCGGGCAGCCAGATGAAGCAGCCAATGCCATCGCTTTCCTGGCGTCTGACGCTGCGACGTTCATCACAGGAGCTACCCTACCAGTGGACGGGGGACGGCATGCCATGTGCCCTCGATAAAACGAAACTTGGATGGTACAGAGAACTGTAATTAGTCCATCACAAGTCAAATCATAAGCCAAAGAACAAGTAAAATCACAAGTCAATGTTTGTTAGAGCACAAGTAACATGGGATGAATAAAGGCATGTTTTTGTCACAGTTTGTTAGTGAAAGTAAATAACAAGCAGGACAAGTTCTTGTTTTGAACTAGCGGGACGGTTCTTATTTGAACTAAATCTACAGAGTGAAAGTAGACACAACCATGGCATTACTGCAAACCAAGCTGTATCGATACTCCACCATGCATGCAAAGCCTAAATGTTATATACGTATTAGCTTATGACTTGACATAAATGATTTGTGGTGGACTTGTGATGAAGTGACACAACTTTGGGTCGATGTTATTTAATTTCAAGTTTTTTAAAGGGCCTGTCACATTATATGCGCTCTCATAGGAGACCTAACGGCGACCATTTTTCCCCATAAATTTAACAATCGTACCGAGGACGCAAGAAAATGAGTAAATGACAACTTTCTGTCTCAAAGAAGCTCAAGCTACGCTTATACTGTGCTCTTCCCGCGCTTACGATGCGTTCAACTCGCTCTCTATGCGCCCCTGTCAAGCTCAATTACTCGATCTAGTCGCTGCCGCTGCGCTGTCACTGCACCCACACTACGCTCTGCTCGCTGTTGGTACGTCCTAGTAGCTCGCGTCGCGCTCTCTATTCGACCAAAATACGCTGACGTCACTTGCGAATATGTGACGTCACTTGCGCTGTATAAATACCACGACAAATCGGTCAATACACAGTCCAGTTTCAAAAATAATTCTACAAGTTCATCGCAGTCGAGTTACTTTCCCATGGCGCTCATCGGAGACCATTAAGACCCTCTGGCGCCCATCTGGCGACCTATGTAGTTGTCGCTGCGATCTAGTAGTTGTTGTTGCGCCCCAGCTATTTTTCAAGGACGCAGTGAGAGCGCATATAAGATTGCAGACAGTGTGACAGGGCCTTTAGTGAAGTGGAAGAATTGGAAGTTGCCAGAGCTACAATTAAGTGTAGAGGCTTTTAAAAGAGATTTTTTTGCACAATGTAGGGTTGTAGACGAATCCATCACAAGTCAGTCACTAGTCAATAACAAGTCAATTGAGGTAGTAGGATTTACTGCCGCCAATGAGCATCACGGAGGAGTTTGAAGGAGAAAATGAAAGAAAGTCTTTCTGTTACCAAGTTTTATTAACTCATTTAACTATCGGCCAGCTAGGAATTAATTACATGAAGAAAAGAGTCCCTGCTTGATAAGTCAGAAACTTTCACCATAAGGGTAATCATATTACACCGATAATTAGGAATATATTTCTACTACAGGGTAATGTTTTTGTGCTGGTATTGTAAGCACAGAATAATGAAAAAATTCTGCAGTTAGCAGTGTCATTACATTCTGGCAAGAACTCCAAAAATCGCTGGGATGGGCACGAACACGTGACGTGTTAAACTTTTGTGTTTTGTGACTAAAGTTATATTGGAATTTAACCCTCCTGCTATCTGAACAGTCACAGACAGTAAAATCAATCCTCTTCCCCTGCCATGGGTTTTACACAGGCTAGTCACCAACAGTCGGATCATATTTCAAGCAAGCACTGTCACTAGTCAAATTCAGTCAACAGACAAAAGCAGGCAAGTGGTAGGCACAGCTGGCTTATCAATCACCTACAGTCAAAGCATAGCTGTATCAAACAGCCACAGCCAGTCAATCCAGCTTCATGTAGGCTGGGAGCTCTCAACTGTTAAAAACAGTCACTTGATTGATTTTGACTGAAAGGACAACTCGGCACAGAATGCGTGTTTGCATAGGAGGGTTAAATTGAATGAAAGATGACTCTTCTGTAATAATGGTAGATATTATCAAGTGCAAGGTGTTCAAAATCTATATATTGTTGTTTTGCTCGAACGAAGCCAGCATAATACAATGTAATATTACAGACATCAATTTTTTTTTGGGGGGGGGGGGGGAGGATTTGGTGGGGACGCAAGTTAATTTTTATTTTTTTGCGGCATCAATGATCATAATGAGTATCTTTTATGAAACATAATAAGGGACAGTTGCCATCCCCATTGTGAAATTATCTACATGGTAAAACTAATACCCCTGTAGTTTTAAACATTGCAGCTTATAGCTAAGCAGCAAAAGTGCTAATACACGGCTTTATAGTTCGCCTGGTCATGTTGGTATTTTAATCAGTACGAACACTTTAATCAAATGACTTAACTTAGTGTGCTTAAAATCAAGTATTCAATTCACTTATAAAATATTTCAAAGCATTGCAAAAAAAATTAAAATTCATATTTTTCGTCCGATTTTTGTTTAAACTTGTAATTTGTGTAAACATTAAACAAAATTTAAACCTTTATTTAACGGCATTTTAATATTTTTTTGATTGTTACTTATTTTCTATTTTTGATTAGCATTAAAATTTCATATGAAATATCTTGAAATCAATGTGTTGTCTTTTTGCTTACAGTTTGCAAATTTGCATTAATTGATATATTTTTGGATTATCATTTCAAAATTAACATTTTTTTGGGGGGGGGGAGGTGATTGACGTGGTGCTTTGTTATCAAAATGTTCACTGATGGTTTACCATATACATGTAGAAACCGCGCGCCGTATGAATGGTTAATCAATAGCGAACACTGCCTAGACGTCTGTGCGTACATTTAGATCGACATTTATGTATGCAGGTTTGGGGCCAGTCTATCACCCCAATGGATTACGGAAAGCGCGCCACGAGGAGCGCGCCATTATTGCGTAGTAGTAAACAAACGTGAACTGCTGTGTTTATGTTTACCCGAGTGCGCGGTGTGTTTCGTGTATTTCCTTGTCAAATTTCACTTCAAAGTGTCGTCAAATTTAGCCGGTCGACCATGGAGAAGGAGAGGAAAATCTATAAGATCGTCCTGACTGGAGGTAATGTGTTTCCTCGTTGAGAACGTGTGGTTTTGATGAGTAAAAATGATATGAATTTCACAAGCGTCCTGCAAAATATTTTGTCTTGCAATTGCATAATGTGCAGTGAGGCTAGCTAATCGCATTGATCAGTTGATTGTGCATGCCATGCATGACGCAATGAATGACCGCTGCATGCATGCAATGCGTTATCTCTTAGCACGTGCTTCGGCCATAGTAAATATTTTTAACAAAACAAAACAAGATTATGTTCTGTTCCTTGCTCTATGTAGCCCCATAAATGTGGCCTATTTACTGGACTGCCTCCGTAAACATAGGCCACACATCCACATGTACAAAAACGTGTCGACTTTGCCAAACTTTGATTTTCACATTTAGGCTTACTTTGTAGGGTTTTTTTGCTTTAGAAGCATTCTCACCCTCTATATAGGCTAATCAGAAAGTGCTGCCTTTTTCAGATGTCTAATTTTTGTGAAATTTTGATACGCAAACATGTGCAAATGTATCTGGAAATTTCACGAAAAATGGACATCTGAAAAAGGCAGCACTTTCTGATTAGCCTATATAGAGGGTGAGAATGCTTCTAAAGCAAAAGAAACCTACAAAGTAAGCCTAAATGTGAAAATCAAAATTTGGCAAAGTCGACACGTTTTTGTACATGTGGACGTGTGGCCTATGTTTACGGAGGCAGTCCAGTAAATAGGCCACATTTATGGGGCTATGCTCTATGGTTCTCACGGTTCCTTTCCATGTACATTCACTTCATCTGTTCCTTTCCCTACTATTTTTTGATTGCAGGTCAACTCGCCTCTTACCGACTCGCCTCTTACCGACTCGCCCCTTACCAACTCGCACCCTGACCGACTCGACCTGGCCCCCTAACCGACTCAACCCTTACAAGCTCGCCCCCTGGCTGACTCGCCCCCTAACCGACTCGCCCCCTCGCCAACTCGCCTCCTAGCCGACTCGCCCCCTGACCGACTCGCCCCCTGACCGACTCGCCCCCTTGAAAATTAAGCACTGTACGGGGACATCGTGAAATAAAAATAAAGACAGTGGAGCACATTGCCCGGTCGCAACGTGAAACTTAACGGAGCCAAATTATTCAAACGCCAGTTTGAAGGATTTCCGATCCCAATGCAAAAAACTATTGATCCTTTATAAAAACTTTGGGTTGGAAACACCTTAGCACAGCTTTACCGATATAGCGGATTAGCGCAGCGTGATTTTTCGCGGAGTGCCCGTGGCATAGGGCCCGTTGGGCCATAACGCGTAGCGTTCACGGTGATTGCACGGTGATTGCACGGTGACAACACATGGAACTTTTAGAACCAAATTTTGAATTGGGCAATCTGAATAGTTCAATCCCAAAACTCAGATAACAAAGCTGATTTGCTGGACCCTCTGTGTTCCCCTCCACTGTCTTTATTATTTGTTTTACGATGTCCCCGTACGGTGCATCATTTTCCAGGGGGCGAGTCGGTCAGGGGGCGAGTCGGCTACTGCTAGGAGGCGAGGAGGCGAGTCGGCTAGGGGGCAAGTCGGCCAGGGGGCGAGCTTGTAAGGGGCGAGTCGGTAAGGGGCGAGTTGGTAAGAGGCGAGTCGGCCAGGGGGCGAGTTGACCTGACACCTATTTTTTGTGGTATGACTGACAATGAGTGAATGACTGATGATTTGAACTTTATTTCCTCACTTCATTTTCAAGAAGGCCTGCAAGTGCAACTGCATCATGTGCATTTAGATTTCAGCAGAATTTTCCTCAAAAGTCAACTCAAACAGTCAACATGGTCAAAGCCAAAACTAGTAATGATGATGACTAATGTTGCCGTTAAGAAAAATTCTGCTTGGATCTATGTATCAAACAGGATATTTTTGTGACCGTGTAGTGTATGGCCCATTCCCTATAAGAGAGCAAATTCCCCTTTTATTTATTTTTTTGACTAACCAAACTAGTTGGTGAAATGTGTCTGTCAAAGACAGGGGGCAGTGTTTTTAATTTTTAAGGGAAATTTTGGGATAAAAATGACGACAAATGCAGCATGAAGAAAAAAAGTACAGTACGGCGCCAACCATAAACTGCGTATGAAAATGGCAATTTCTACCCAAGAATCTGTTCACAATTTTTAAAAGCTGTCATTGGAATTGAAAGAAGTCTCCATTAGGTTGAAAGGGTCATTTTTTAATGATAGAAAACACTCTTGACTCTTAACTTGATCAAAACTAAAGAGGGGCCCTACAATACATCATCATGATTGATCACCAAAATAAAAAGTCATATCATAAACCAGGCTAATGCAAGATTAAAGAACAAAAATGCACAAAGATAACAATGAAAACGAAGGAAAGCCTAAATATTGAATATTGAAAGAAAATATTACAGCAACTACATGTAAAAAAAAGGCGCCTTTTGGTTTTCATCCTTCAACTCTCGCAAAGTATATGCCCCACTTATTGTGATTGCTGCAGCTGCTGATTGTAAGCAAATCTATCCGTGGATTATAATCTCTGTCCACAGGTGGATGCAATCAAATAAAAATCCTTCCTGCTATTTCAATTTTGGACTCTTTGAATTGGCATGGTTTTTTAATTTAGTTGAAAATCATTTAGAAAATTAACCATAAACCATACCACTTCAAAAGGACAAGTAAAATGGTTTAATTAAAATGTCAAAACACAGGATTAATATTAAATTGTTGTATTAAGTCCAATGCCAATTAAGGATCTACCTCCCTTTAAATACTGGAGTCAGGTTGGCGTAGCGGTACTTTCCTCGCCTTCCACCGCTGTGACCCGGGTTCGAATCCCGCCTGGGCCAATATGTGGATTGGGTTTTCAGTCCCTACCTGATTCCGTGGGTTTTCCCCAGAATATTCTTCTGGGCTTTTCCTTCCACCTGTAAAACTGCAATTTCTTCTTAAATTATCTTCTCTCTAAGTTGGTGTGATGTTTCTCCTGGGATGCTTTACCGACTATAATGATACAGATACAGACAAATACAGATGGGCAATTCCACAGTTACTCACGTTACATTTTTGATGTACTTCTGAGTTTCCTTGGGCTGTAATTACCTTACTGAAAAGGTTTAATAACTGTTATCCCCATGGTAGATAGAGTAGACCTAGACCTACCTAAGCACCAAAGATGACATCCAGAAAAATGTGTTATGTATGATAAACAAGATGCACAAAATCAGTTACTCACGTTACGAAAATGTAATGTGAGTAACCGTTGAATTGCCCTGATACAGATACTGCAAACTCCTCCAAAAGCTCCATTGAAATCGAGATGGCATATTCGACCACCCTAAATTTGGCAATTTTTACTGTCGCTGGGAATTGTTAGCTATTCTTAAAGGCCTTATGCAAATAATAAAAGTAATGAAATTAAATTTGAATTTATTAATATAATTTTTTTTTAAATATTTTATATTAGGATTTGCCATTGTGTGATTTTTTAAATAATTTTTATAAACACTGTATAATCATTGTTGTCTGAGGGCTCGAGTGGGACTCGAACCCACGACCTCCTGCTTACTAGTGCAGACGTCCTACCACTCGATCACCGAGCTTGCCGGGATCGACTGGCTAGTTCAAGTCTGTAGCAGCGGGTACCACAACTAAACATTTGTAATATATAATTCTCCCCGATGCTACGAGGTCAGCCAGAAAAGACACTGAAAAGTTCATTACGTACATAAGAATAAATTAATTTGCATGGTTTTTGAAGTAATTTCTTTTCCTCTGTATCACAGGACCTTGTGGTGGCAAGACCACCGGGCAGGCCCGCCTGGCGACGTTCTTTGAGAACCTTGGCTACAAGGTTTACATGGTGGGTGAAATGGCTACCTATCTACTCTCGTAAGTATTATGTAATATGTATTCTGTAGTCTGAATCATGAAAATGGGAGCATTGTAGTTGATTTTGAACAACTGATAATTTGTCAATGGTTTTTTAGTAAAATTCTTGAAGACTTCTCAGATTCTGAAAGGTATTAGTTTTTGAAACAGACTGTATATTTTTAAAACAATTTATTTCCATTCAAAAAGATTATTATTATTGAACAAATTATTATTGTGCTTCTAATAACAGAAAAAATATTCCCTTCAATTTGTATTCAGGTCATTTTTTTCTTATTTTAAATTCCATTTTAATTGTTTTCACATTTACAATCAATATATTGGCAACATCATGTACATGGTTCTACGTGCCAGAGTAAAAGGTCTATTTTGAACATGGGCGTCGCGAGGGGGGGGGGGGGGGCAAGGGGGGGGGCACTTGCCCCCCCCCCCCCCCTGGAAAAGCAAAAAAGGAAAGAAAAAAAAAAGAGGCGCGAAGACAAAGTGGTGTAAATTTAATGAGTTGGGGGGGGGGGGCAAAATGTCCCTGCCCCCCTCTAAAACTGATAAATCGAGAATGTGTTGAGAAATACAAACATTTTTTGGCAAAAAATTTTTTGCCCCCCTCTAGAAAAAATCCTGGCGACGCCCATGATTTTGAATGTTCTTTTTGCCAAAATAAACACAAATTTCAAAGTTCATGTAGTAATTAGTTATTTTTTCTTATCTTTGGATGAAGCAATGCATCCGTTTTCATCAAACACAACCTACACAGCTGGCTGAACCCAGCCCCCGTGATAGTGAAATTCAGCCGTTACCGTTTTTAATAACGCGTCTATAATTACATCAGCTCCCCGTCCTTGATCGATGGTGCAGTTATTATTACAACGCCGGTTACCTGCCATCGATTCACTCCTCAGCACACAGTGTGCAGAGTACCGGGCGCATCCCACATTGATGAGTCAAGAACACACTGTCTTCTCCATCAAGTGCTAGGCACATAATGGAACCCCTGTTCGGATAATGCAGGCCATATGAAAAGAAATAACCGTTTGTTGTCTGTTTCAACAGGGTTTATTGTTCTCTTTGGTAAATTAATTTAACGGGCAAGTTAGGACTTTGCAGTTTCATAGTACGTAATACATTGACATTGTAATATAAAAGAGGTTGTGGAATAGTAAATCGTGACATAATTAACAGGACTCCTGATGCAGGGTAGTATAAACGAGTCCTGTTTATTACGTAACGATTTACTATGTTTTGTTTGCTGCCCCCAACGACGAGTTTTACACAAATTGCACGTTCCGGTCGAAACAGGACCTGAAAAACAGTTCTCAAAAGTACCTTTTGTACTCATTTCATGACAGACACAATGGTTTTTTTTTATTTCATCACAGCTTAGGCTACATATTCCTGAAGAATGACGGAAATGTCTTCGCGCATTCCACAACCTCTTTAAAACAAAGAGGGTGGAATATTACATTCAGACATCGGCTTGTTTCTGGCAAAATAAGAATAGCAGATCTACATGTATGTGCTCAGACAGGCTGTCTAAACGACAATAGTGGAGTCCCCTAACGTGGCGCACATCGATGTTCCCCTCGACTTTCCTCATGCAGTGTTGCTAAACCTCTTTGTTGAAAAACTTGTAAATTCAATCAGTTAAATACTGGTACTTTTACCATAACGCTTGCTGTTGAACTTTTGTGAACAATTTCAGTGTCATGAAATTTAGTCCGAAATTCAAAAACGGTGGCGTCCGGAAATCGGGCGCAAAATCGGATATTTTTTTCTTATCTATAAAAACCCATGTACTGGAAACAGACTAACAATGTACATGAACAGACAAACAAAAATGTACATACATGCATGTCCTTGACATACATATATGTGAGATATGTAAATAAGAAATTTGATATTGCACTCACAATCTAATCTATGGCTTATCAAAGACAATATTGACTTTGCCAGAAGATACCGAAGGGGAGTCAGGTTGGCTCAGCGGTTCTTTCCTCGCCTTCCACCGCTGTGACCCGGGTTCGATTCCTCCCATGGGCCACATGTGGATTGGATTTTCAGTCCCTACCTGATTCCTTGAGTTTTCCCTAGAATATTCTGTCCTTTGTTCTTTGCCAAATCAGAATATGTACCCAATGGGGATACAAACAAGATGGAATGTTATACCCCCCACAGGGGCATATAAGCTCATCAGTGATGTTTTAACATAATCATGTAGAGAGAAACAAGCTAATTTTTTTTTTGATTATTTTTTTCAATTCTTTTTAAGGAAAAATACACCTTTTTTCCCTCGGCGTTGTAATTTTACTTACATATAACTCCAAACAAATGCCTCATTAAGAAGATCTGAGTTAGAAAAGGGGGATTTTTTTTTTTTTTTTTAGTGAGAGAAACTTGGAACAAAACGCATTATGAATTTATAATGTTATTATGGCCCCCCAGAACATCTGCCAGTGAAGGTGCTGACTTAAAGAGGTTGTGGAATGCTCGAAGACATTTCCGTCATTTTTTGGGTATATGTAGCCTAAGGTGTGATGAAATAAAAACAACTATTGTTTCTGTCATGAAATGAGCACAAAGGGTACTTTTGAGAGCTATTTTTCAGGTCCTGTTTCGACCCGAACGTGCAATTTGTGTAAAAGTCGTCGTTGCGGGCAGCAAACAAAACACAGTAAATCGTGACGTAATAAACAGGCATCGGGAGTCCTGTTTATTACGTCACGATGTACTGTGTTTTGTTTGCTGCCCGCAACGACGACCTTTACACAAATTGCACGTTCGGGTCGAAACAGGCATGACAGGACTTGAAAAACAGCTCTCAAAAGTACCTTTTGTACTCATTTTATGCCAGAAACAATAGTCGTTTTTATTTCATCACACCTTAGGCTACATATACCCGAAAAATGACGGAAATGTCTTCGAGCATTCCACAACCTCTTTTCAAGTTGAATTTGAATTTACATTTTCAAACATACTGGAAATGAGTGCTCTACATTGTAGATGTTTTAACAAACAATCAACATTTCTTTTTATTACTTTTCAAAAATATAAAAGTGTGCATATTTATAATCATTGGACAAAGAGCTTTTTAATGAGAAATCCATGTTTTGGCCTGAAAACTGATGCGCTTAATTGTACTATCGACAGAATTGTTGAGCACATCTATTTTCCTCCATATTCAGTTATTCATGATTAGAATGATTGATCGCCCATGCAGATGATGAGTACAAGTAAAACATAAACGCGTTGCAATTAATCGTTTTCTGCTTTGTTTGTTTTGCAGCGGAGGAGTGAAATTTTCCGATCTGAACGAGGAAGCCAGTGAGTAAATTTGTGCATTGGCGCTGGGTAGAGGCCATTGATTTGAATATATTGCGTGGGCCAGCTTCTCATAAAGACATGTTGTTGGTCACAGGGGTATTGAATTTTAGTTTATCATTAAAGGGAATGTACATCATTGGCTTTTGCTGTAATTTTCAGAAATTAACTATTTGAGGGGTTAGTATAATAGGCCTTAGATCAAATATTGTTTAACTGACATGTTTTGAAGTTTTGTGTTTCGAAAATGCTTGAAAAACCAAGAAAAACAAAAAATGTTTAAGTAGTCTGGTTCCCTGACTCCACTAAAGATAAAATGGATCAATTTATAGTTGTCGGAAAATTGTAAGGTAAGGGAACCAGTCTAGCTGGCCTGCACCCGTTCTTGAACATGTAACTAATAGCAAACAAAATTTGGACTGAAAATTGTAAATTTGGAGCAGTAGTTGAAAAATAGTTAGGTTTTTCCAACGGTGGTCAGCCGACCACCGTTGGAAATGTATACAACAATACAAGTTTATTGAAAATGACTTGACACCAGGTGCCATAATTTTACAGGATGCTTAATTAGACGGTCATTTACCAACATCCTAGTAAGGTATTTTGTAAAAACTTGGTAGTTTTATTTTTCGATGTTTGCAAATGTTGTATATTCCCTTTAAGGTAATAAAAGTGACGGTATAGAGAGGGATTTTCTGGGCAAGCCACCTTTGAATCCAGAGGACTATATAGAATACTTAACCCTAAGCCCCTAGGCCCTTTGGCTAGGAAGCATCCTCAATCCTCCACAATCGTGCGTTATTTCTTGAATATGTTCAGTGGAGGGGTGACCATTGCCTCAATCCTTCAAATCCTCCAACAATCACTGTTAAAGGGAATGTACAACATTTGCTTTTGCTGCAATTTTCAGAAATAAATGGATTAAGAGGATTAGTATGTTACAGCCAATATTGATAAAATGACTTGTTTCACGTTTTGGGCTTGTAGATGCCGAAAAAACTAAGAAAACCAAATCATGATCTTGTAGTCTAGTTCCCTGACCCCACTTAAGATGAAACGGAGCAATTTATAGATTTTGGGGAATTGTAAGGTTAGGGAATCAGTATAGCAGGCTTGTAACCCTTCACAATTGCAAAGAAAACGCGGAATAACTAATTATGAAAAACTAGGAGCAGTTTTTGAAAAAAGCCAGTTTTCTACCATTTTCTTGAAAATGAGAGCACACCAGGAGCCATGATTTTACAGGATGCTTGAGACTGTCATTCCCTAACAATCCAGTCAGGTATTTCGTGAGAATTTGATCATTTCGTTTTGAGATGTTTGCAAATGTTGTATCTTCCCTTTAATGGGTTGAGGCAGTGCCGATGAGATTCAGAAGCAGTGCGGATGATATCGAGCATAGTGCAGGGCTCAGTTTTGCATAGCTGAACATAAACAATGCTGGGTACAGCCTACGAACTCGACACAATGCATCCTCCAATATCAACCGGCACTTCTTTTTGCCATTCAGCCATTCCAAAACCGCCTGGAGGATTTTGGAGGAAGATTAGGGTTATAGCAGACAAAAACATTAACCCTAACCAAACCTAACCCATCAAAGTTCAACAGCAGGTTTTGTTTATATCTGTTGGGAAAGGTACAGTACCCCTAAACTGATGGTCTTTTACACTGGGGTTAGCATACCTCCAGAAACTAAGTCCAACAGTGTGTGTGTACAATTTCCCATGTGGGTGTTGGAATTTGCCAGAATGGGTATGGTTCCTAGTAAATTAGGCTGGGGAGTTGGGGTTAAGGTTCTTAGGAGTAAAGTACATGTTCATGTACATCACTCGGGCTAACAATTTAGGATCTCATTATTTTGGGTACATGTAATTGTCTATGATAACCTGAACACCATTCCAACATGCCTCTTCTTTTTTCTTTCTTGTCTTTAGTTTTGAAATTTTGTCAATCCTTTGATGGAATTTTGTGCTGAACACTAACAAAATAAAAGAGTCATAAAAGATAAATATGCAATCTGATTTACCATAGCAGTGGGATATTTTTTTTTGGTGCAGATCTTTAACACAGTTTTTTTCTTGCTTTAAGTTATGTTTGATACTGATATAAACTTTGGAAAGTCAGAAATATGCGAGTGGGGACTTGAACCCACAGCCTCGTGCTCACTGGTGCATTGACCATTACTAGGATTGCCTGTCTAGTCATACACGACCATGACATCGTGTGATGTAATTCCCTATGAGTGTCAAGACTAAAGTACAGTGGTCTATATTTGAGGTTCTCTGTTCATCGTTTGGTGAATTTGGTCTTTGAATCATCTCACTAAATCTCTCTTGATACACAGGTTACTTTTTCCAAGTCAACCTTTTGAAGACCTTGCTTCAGGCCGAGGAGACGTTCTTCACGCTGGCCGAGTACTGCCCAAAGAAATGCCTCGTCATCTGCGACCGCGGTGCCATGGACCCCACCGCCTGTAAGTAAAGATCATGCTGCCACCATTTCAGTCATGTTCCCTGTATCCCATCGCAGTACTGAATGATAATGTTTTTCGTGCAAGAAGGAACCAGACTATTTTTCCTTCCAGCCTCGCTTTGGGTATGTTGATTTGAATGGGGAAAAAATCAAGATGGCCGCAACATGATAATGGTCTATTGGCTGGCCGTATCGTGTCTCACCAGGGATACCTAATCATGAGGATTGGCCCTTCTCCCACACTGGCTGGAAGAGATAAATGGTGCGCCGCTCTTGAAAACTGTGTGCCACATGGATAATAATAATCTTAACTTCCCACAACCTTACATCATTAACGTCCCCCACCCCACACACTTACCGTTGTCTGAATTCACAATTGCATTGTGAGAAAGGTTTCTATTAGGAAAATTCGGTTCAGGGGACTTTCAACTGTCTCCACAAAAATTTTGGTCCCCCAAAGTTGGTGGGCGTGTTCAGGCATTCAAATTGTGGACAAAAAAACGACGGAGAACAACAGAGAGCAATATTGTCTGCGATTCCCAGCAAACGTCCGCGATTCAGATCGTGTACAAAACCTTTGTGATGCGATCAAGCTAAATGAGTCATTTGTCAGGAATTTTTATTTGGAGATACAGACCAAAATAAAATCACTTAATCACATCACTTTATGACATCTCTTGGTGTTCCGACTTGCATAATTTTTAAACTAAAGATGGTACCGCACGCAGTTTTCACAGCAGTAATTATGCTGAGATTGTACTCTTTTCAAATCTGTAAAAAAATAAAAATTGACCAGTGTTGACAAACGACTCATGTAGCTTGATCGCATCACATTTGGGAGTCTTCCTAAAAAGTTCAGGCACAAACATTTAGAGGGACAAAAGGACGTCCACGGTGGGAGGCCGATCACACGACTGTGTGTTTATCTTTTCAAACCATGGATGAAAAAAAAACAGAGAACAAAAGATAACATTATCGTCCACGATTCCCAGCATACGTCCGCGATTGGGATCGTGTACAAAACCTATGGGAGTTTTCCTAAAAAGTTAGAATGCAAACAAAAGAGGGAAAATAGGATGTCCACGATCTACGGTGAACACTTGTTTGGTTGTGTTTGTGTTTGTTCAAACTTGATGTGTCAAGCACATGTAACCCTTGTTACTGGTCAGACAGTTTCCATGCACATCCATCAGACTTGTTAGGAAATGTTTTTAATCATCCAAATCCTGATTTTGTCCCACAAAGTCCTACTTTTGTCCTTTTTTTTTTCTCTCTCTCTGAAAATTTTGATCCTGCTGTTCTGCTACTTTTTTACCCGGTCTGCTTGAAAGCCTGCAAATGTGAAAACGTAAAAAAAAAATATAGACGACCTGGACATAATCGTCGGAAAACTTTGCTAAAACAGTCTTGTTCCCTACCCATTTATCACAGTTTTATACAGGTAATCAGCTTTCTTGTTTGTTTTCCAGATCTTGGTGAGGGCCAGTGGGATCAGATGAGAAAAGAGTACGGCTTTGACAATGTTGCCTTGCGTGACAAACGATACGATCAGGTCATTCACATGGTATGTAGGCCAGGCTAGATGTGTCTCCAAAAAAACCAAACCCTCAGCACGCCCTCTTTTTCGAAGCCTTTAAAAAAAATTCATCTCAAATATCTACACATATTTAAAGAGAATGAGCTTTTCAACAAGGAAAAATCTTTCCAATCGGGTAAATTATAGAGTTATGACCGATTCAAAATAAGTGCTTTATTTTTCAATCTGTCCACAGTCGCAATTGTCATTTGTTGGAATGTAATGGAATTGGGGTGAGGGTAGTTTTCGTTAATGTTTTAATTTTTCTTTCTTTCTTTGGTTCGGTTTATTTATATTTTTTGAAACAATGGTCATTTATCCATTTGGAAGTAAAGGTAGTCCTGATGAAGACTGTTTGGTTAACTTCTTAGATGTTTACTTTGCTACACTGTCTTTGCCCTCTACTTGGTAGCCTTTTTCACAAATGCAAGTTTCACCCCATGTTCTTATTGCGGCCGTCAAAGTATTAGTCACTGTGGAGAAATAAAAAAAATGGTACTTGTTTTCAATCGGCAACAACTTAGTGAATATTTCACCAATAGCACTCTGCACCAATGTTAAAAATAGAAGCAAAGTACCCGGATCTCAAGCAAATATGCTGTTTGAACTTCTCGTGTAAAGAATATGCGCAGGCTTGCAGCACCGTTTCTCTATGCGAATGTATGCAGCCATCTGGCATTGATGTGCGCACATGATTGCGTGTATCGCATAGAGCAAAATTGACATTGTCATTAGTGCGGAGTGCTATTGGAAAGGTGTTGTGTTTTTGAAAAGCTAATGGTCTGTACTCTCCAAATATACACATAGATATTTACGATGTATATTTTTAAAAACTGAAGAGGAGGGTGCTTAGAGGGCTTGTGTTTTCTTTGTTAGACACCCTGTAAAATAATTATAATATAAAAAGAGGAAGTTGATGAGTCATCAAACCTGGATTTGTAAACAAGTCATTTAGGAATCATTTCAAAGTGCAAAGTTTCTTCTACGGCTTATGATGGCCACAACAAAATGGATTCACAATACGATGTACTGCCAGTGATGACGACCTTTCAACTTTTCTATGGACTTCCTGCTTACATTGAATTTATTTTGATTACATTCATTTGTAATCAACTCAAAGAACAGAAATCTCGAACAGTACACTATTAGATAACACTTAAAATACGACAGTTGTAAATGTTGGCAGTGACCAAGCAAGCGAAGTGAAGCTCTGTGGCCTATGTGCATGCACACACCTGGGTGTCAAGATTGTTGATTACGCGATTTTGACGAACTAGTGCGCGAGTGTCGGTGAGGATATGTCACGGAGTTTATTCAAACTTGGTGGAAAGGTTCTCTAAGTGGTGCTTTAGATGACGTCGAATCCGAAATTCTAATTGCTTTCCATTGTGTTGTTACGTATAGTACAAAGTTCAATGAACTTTGCTACTTAAGATTGAAATTGATTTGGAAGCTGAATTTACGAAGCCAATGACTAAACATTATTCCATATTTGGCAGCTTCAGTTAGTGAAATTCCTTCTTTTGTTTCCCACGTCTTGTTCCTCAGGAAACCGCGGCCAATGGAGCAGAGGAGTTTTACACCGGTCTCCAAGGCAACATCACACGAAATGAGAGCTGTGCTTTCGCCATCAAGCAGGACAATAAGACCAAGCAGGCCTGGGTCGGTCATCCGTACTTTGACATCATCGATAACTCCACAGACTTTGAGGGGAAGATCAAACGCATGATCTCTGTAAGTGTCAACTCTTGTCCGGGTGACGGTTCAGATATTATTGCTGTACAAACCTTGCGGCCGTGCCACCAAATGGCTGTCTCACAGTTGCTACTTTAACTTGCGATGGACATTTTGAATACAAGTTTAATTATCTTGCAAGTTTTCCCTTTTCTCCATTTTTGTTTACATTTGAGTGTTTAATGATACATTTGGAAGTCTGAATTGTCTTAACCTAAAGGTGTGTGAAAAATCACAATGACCACCTGCTGTCTGAACAGTCACCAACAGTAAAAAAATAAATGAATCCTCTTCCCTGCCATGCCTTTTACACAGGCTAGTCACCAACAGTCGGATCATATTTTTAGTAAGCACTGTGACTAGTCAAATTCAGTCAGACAAAAGTACCCGGTAGGCAGGTGGTAGGCACAGCTGGCGTATCAATCACCTACAGTCAATGCGCAGCTGTGTCAAAATACATAAACCGTCACAGCCAGTCAATCCTGCTTTATGTATGTAGGCTGGGATCTTCTAGCGTTCAAAACAGTCACTTGATTGATTTTGACTGAAATGACAGCTTGGCACAGAATGTATAATTGCATAGAAGGGTTAAATCTAATATGAGAACCAGGTCGGATGTATCGCAATTTGAATTGGACATTCTGGGCTTCTCAATGATTCTGAAAGACAGAGATGAAGCTGAACATGGAGACAACGCAAAGCTTTTCAAAAAAAATGGAGTCTGTTGTGAATTGTTCCTATTGTCTAGTAAATTTGTTTTTGTTTTGGTTTGTTTTGAGCAGACTATTGCAGATCGCCTGGGCATCGCCATTGGCGATCGTCTGGCTAAGAACAGCGTCAAGCGCAAGTTTCTGGTTGAGGAGCTCCTTGACGAGAACCTCTTCCCACCATTTGAGGACTTTGAAGTCAAGCATGACTACATGACGACAACCAGTGATGGGACGAAGGCAAGACTGCGCAAACGTGGCCAGAATGGTTTGTACTCCTTGTCATTTCTTTTATCCTTTGTTCTTGTTAAAGAGAAAATTGTCAGTTAAAATTCAGTGAGAGATCCAAGATTGTTCGAGGGGGTCCATTAAAGGGTCCGTGGAATGAATTTTACACTGGAGTGTATTTGTAGCAAATATCCATTCCTCTGAAATGTATCAAAATTATGAGACCTCCGTTTTTGGTGAAAATGTTTGCAAAGTGCACTTTTTTTCAGCATGTAAAATGTGTCATGCTTTTCCTGACAACTGAGGGCGCTGCTGCTGTGTTGTCACTTTAGGAACACACTCTTCATTTAAGGTCTTTTTCTCTTCAAATTGTAAACCCAAAATTCTGCTTACTGAAAAGATTTGTGCATAATGTTTTCTGATTGTTTTACTGTCATACACGGAAACAACAATGGACCACTGAAAGCAGCTTGGTAAAATCTGGACTTTTCCAGTTCACTCGGCTTCGCCTCGTGAAATGGAAAAGTCCAGATTTTACCTTGCGATAATATTCCTCCCATTTCACTCTGAGCCACTCAATATTTGCATAACATGGGCGCTTTAAATGAGATGTGCAATATTGTATGACATTTCAGAAAAAGGAATTTGGTAGTTTTTCGTGTAGTGTGTGGAAAGTTAACTGTGATATGACAGAAGGGGAGATGGGTAGTTGTTTAGCCTACACCCCCAATGTGCCAGTTAAACTGCCTCCATATTTATTTTGTTGATTGCCTCTTTTCTTGTGCAGGTATGTACACATACATGCAAACAATCTGCAGACCAGAGATCACCAATCAAGTTGTGACGACCAGAACACCCATCACATCAAAACAGTATAACGTAAGACTATACTATCAGCATCAACAAGTCAATTACACTTCTGACAAAAAGCTACCCCACAGGGTTAGGCCAAAAAAAAGTCTCCGGTTTCTGGTATGGAGCTTGCCCAAAAAGTGGTGCGGCGACGCGGCTTTTTTTTTTTTTTTTCCCCCTGATTTTTTTGCTTCAAATGTCGGCTGATGACTGCAAATGGTGCCCGACTAAACTTAGTGCAAATATATGGGAGTCCAGAGAGGCCACATAAAGCTTATTCTCGACCATAACCCAATCTAAAAACACGTTAAAATTGTGCAGCAGCAGGATTCCAGTCAAACCAGTGAGTTTGGCGGTTTTGAGACATCATCTTTCATTGAAAAAAAACTTTTTTCATTTTGCCGACGCGCATGGCTACGGTGACGCGCGCGCATACCAGAAACCGGAGACTTTTTTTTTTGGTCTCAAAAGTCGGAACGCTTTCAATGTTGCCCCTAGGTAACATCGGGGAACATCGGTTAACATCGCTTAACATCGCCTCTTCCAATTGGGAACATGCGTTATTCCCACTGGGAACAGCCCGGAAACGTCTGGTGTTCCGACTTATGAGACGTTCCCTTAAAACCCCTTACCCCCTTGAGTGATTTACTGGGAACCTTCCTCATTCTTGCAAAATCCAACACCATATGGTAAACTCAACACACCCAAACTGTTGGGAGTCTGATTATGGTGGTATGCCTGACTCCGTGTAAAGCATAATCACTTGGTGCAGTACCCACTCCAACAGATTCCAACAAATTCCAACAAAACATGCAGATGGATTTTGAAGGGTTGGGGGTGGTTAGGGTGAAACAACTGCTGAAACATTTTGGAATTTGACACAAATCAATTTGACTGATTTATAACCATTTACTTCCAGAAATCGGAATTAATTTCTTTAAAATGTTTGGGTTTTTTTTCTTTTTCATTTGTATACCAAACACTGTGTTGTAAGTAACCATGTCCAAATTAAGAACAAAAGATTTAAAAGGCAAAGACAGTCTGTAATCATGATTATCTAATCACTTGATCATCATTGATTTCTCCTGTTTGAGTCTCTTTCTCTTTCTGTCGTTTATCCTTTCTCGACCAGCTCCTTCTAGCCCAGCGTGATCCAACACGGTCACAGATTGTCAAGAAAAGACGCTGTTTCCTGTGGCAGAACCTGTACTATCAGATGGACATCTACAGAGAACCCCCAAATGACAGGTGATGTTAAACAAATGTTCGTTAGGAGACACTTTACATATTATTGACGGCTTGTGTTATTCAAAATGAATATTACATCTCAATGCCCAGCCCATTTTTTTATTGCGCTGCGATACTCTGCTTTGTGGTCTTTTGTCCAATAAGCCAGTTCAGACGACTCAACGGGAAGGACATGTGGGTTGATGGCATCGTGTTCCTTTTATCCCTTAATCTAAGGATTTCACATCCGGGGTGATGTTTTTCTATAGGTTTCACAAGTCCCCACATGTAGGTTATGGTCAGCAACTGCGCATGCGCACAGTGATAACGGGTCATGGGTCATTCCGGATAGTAGAACACTCATCGAAGGCGCATGAACGTGTAGGGAGGTGGGCGCACAACGCTCAAGTGTTAGTTATGATCGGAATGGGCATTCACGTAACATCACGTCAGCGATTTTATCACGAATGACCTGGACTACTTCATTGAGATACCGAACTTTTCACAAAGAACAATAGAACATGAGCAGGAATAAAAACAAAGTGAGGGCACGCGAACTCATTTTTTTCCGACTATCTCGTTTCATTTCCCTTCAGATGCAAAGGCTTAATCCTTCTAGAGACCTACACCACCTTACCTGGCAACGAACTTCCACTCCCAGATTTCCTGAAGATCAGCAAAGAAGTCACCGGCGATAAAAACTACTCCATGTACAACCTTTCCAAGATCTAAAAAATAAGGTATTAAGATTCCAGAGCGAATCATTCACACACCAACAACATCTCTCCCAACTTTGCCATTTGTGTTCATGTTTGCAGTGTACCAAGTACTGGGAGGTATGGATTAAAAGAAAGTGTATTTCATTGTAACTATAATCAATATTCAGCAGAGAAAGAAGAGATGTGTTGCATGAATATAAAAAGCGATTGGCTTTCAAAAGAACTGGTGGTGGGCTTAAAATCCAGACTTTTTAAAATTGGGTTTGAATTGAACTATTCGGTTTGGCTTTGGAAACCAGATATTCTAACCTTGTATTATGTACCCTGCTATTTTTTTGTGATGCAAGTTAAAGAAAGACAACTGGAACATCTCCCAATTGGTTCCATGGTCTCTGATTTTAAAGATATAGTCCATCATTTGTAATTTGTGCATTGTGTTCGTTTGAAGCAACAAAAGTGCTCAAAATCTAAAGAAGGGTGCTGAACAACTGACCTGATGAAGTTTCAGCTTAGCTTCAGCTGTATATTTCGAGAAAAACAACCTTCTAGGATTTTGATTTCAAATCAAAAGTTGCTGAATCATGTTTTGAATGGGGCCTCAGTTCAGCGTTCGAGACACGTTCTCACTGAGCCGATTGCAGCTACGCGATGTCGCGCACTGATCCGATGAATTCGCCGAATAAAAAAAAACAAACTACAAACGGAATTTCCAACGGTGCTTGTTGAGACGCACCGTTGGAAAGGCCTTCTTTCGTTGATTACTTTAAAATGACAGCTTGCCAAAAAGAATAATTTCACAGGGAGTTTAGTCCCCTTTAATCTTTAAACCAAGTATGTTTTTCAACAATAATTATGTCACTTACTTTTGGATAGCTGCAAATGATGGACTCTGGCTTTAATGTCATTCAGTCACTAGTGGTCTTCGTGGTTCATGACCAGCCTGCCCATTTGACTGATCAGCGACATCCCACCCATTTTTGTTTGAACATTACAGTTTTGAAGTATATTTTCAAAGGCCCAGTGGTCTCTGAATAATGCCAACTACCCAATCATCATGCATGCAGCAGCTCACTCGTCACTTTTTGTTGACATGACTGTGAGCCGAGTTGGAGATTCTGGTGAAGACGGATAACTGTTATTTGGTATAGACAAATCCGGCGACAGCCACTTACTGCCGTGGCACTGCAGTTGTGCTCAGGTAGTCACACGCACTCCGGGCTCCTTAGGCCAAAAGGCATACCAAAATGCGCGTGTACCTTGTCTTTAAGAACACTTCTAAATCTAATCGCTGGAATCCACTTCAAAAAAAAAAGATTGGGATAACTTGAAATCTCTGATTTCTCCCGCCACTAAAAAGAACCATGCGTTTGCAACTTGGAGCTTCATAACTGCTATTTTGTGGGTGCGTATTGGCCAATATGCATATATCTTGAGTCATATAGCAAATGTGCTATATATGCACTTCCTTCTCACATGCAGTTCATCTTGCGCATGTGACAAACATCTAGAATAGAACTAGGATAGAAAAGAGCTAGAACTGCGAACAGATTGTCGAGGATCATTTTTTTCCTGCCGTTTTCTTTAAAATAAAAGTACTTGCTTTGTGTGCTACTCTTTCTAATTACAAAGATTTTTTTTAAAAACTTGTGAGGCGGTGATTAGTCTGGGAGACCATCACAAATAGAATTCGAACGTATTCCTGCGCTGACGACGCCTGATGCTCTCGCGAAGACGCTGTGGTTAATCATTTTGGCACATTTAGGAAGTGTGCGTACTTCGCGGGCGAACCAGTATGCCACACTGTGTGTCCCGTCAACGAGGCTCTTAAAAGTGGTAAAAACGCGCCCTATTTTGTTGGCGCACGGAGCCCATACAAGCAAAAGTTGCGATACGCACACGTCAGGTACCCAGAAGCAAAAAAAAAGGGGGGGGGGGAAAAATCCTACTATTAGCTTTACAAATCATGAATTGTTTAATCCTCCATAAGTAACTTCAAGTTTTCTATTACACAGTTGTGTGTATTTTTACGTTTCACGAAAATGTGTAAATAAGAGGATATATGTGCGGGTTGTATTGTTTACCTGGTATAAATTTTGTATTTTATTTTGTTTCTTACTTATTTTTCGCAAAAAGGTTTTTTTGTCGTACACGGTTGAGAATGACAAAATAATTCAATTTTTTATTTCACTTTTGTTTGTGCCCAACTCAATTTATATCCCGAAAGGGTTCCGGACAAGTTGCGGGTAGAATCATTCACATTGTCCGGAAGAAGCTCTGCATCTGTCCTGGACATGTTCCGGGGAAATTTTATTAGTAACTGCTTGACCCACCAATACTGACAACTTCATTGCGGGAAGATTGCAGGGAAGTTGTTCAGAAACTTGCAACTTATACCCGATACAATGTCTGCAACTTGACCGGAACTTGTCCACGATTTGTATTGAGACTGGCCCTTTCTTGAATTGTTCTGAACAGTCGAGTGTTCCTCCAAGGGTGAGAAATGTGAGAACCATGCAAAACAAAGTGGACTCCGAATTAATAGAACACAAATTTAACCTAGCTAAGAAAGAAAACAATTTCTATTTGATCGTAGGTGAAATTAATATCTGCATTTGCAGTCCTGAATGTGCAAGGCTAAACAGGCTTTCTGGTGTACAAATTCTAAATTATCAGTTTTTGGTAAATTTTCTCCTAGTCGCATGAAGAGGGGGGGGGGGGATGTGTTTTCGTTATAATACACCACAAAACCGTTCCTACTTTTTATTGTGTGGATATTTACATAAAATGTATATCTATATAAGATGTTCTTGCAAAAAATGATATGTTTAAGTATAGTGTGGTGTTTAAAATATTTGTTCTTTTTGTGTGTGGTGCACTAATGCAGTGAAAATGTACATATAGACATTTTCCTTTAAAAAATTACATGAAATCAAAACATTCTGGACGTTAATAATTAATTTAAAATAATGTTGCGTAATGGAATTCCATTTATTTTTCCTTCTGCTAAATTGATTCGGAAAAATGTTGTTTCTTTAGGAAAGATTTCCTTATACGAAGTTCACTCAACACCCTGTGTACAAACCCTATGAGATTGGACTGAAAAATTCTAAGTGTTTTCTAAGAAAATGCTTGTATTTTCTCACTGTTCAAATTGACTTTGATGACATGAAATTGCTATCTGGGGGCTTGTTAGTCAATACAGAGGAAAATTAGTGAACTTCTTATATGGAAATCTGTCCTTTCTTTATAATACAACACAAAAGCAATTCCTAGTTTTTATTGTGTGGATATTTACCTTGAAAAAATGATTTTGTTTTTTGTAAGTGTGGTGTGATGTTTAAAATATTTGGTCTCCTTTTAAGTGTGGTACACTAATGCATTGAAAATGTACATGTACATACATGTATATATATATATCCATCTTCTTATTTATAATATTATGTGCTTTCAGATATATCAAAAAGTTTCATTGATAACCTGCAATTATACAAATGGAAGACATTTGAAGTCTTTAAGAGAACTAATTGAGCCTATGAATACATGCATTCTGTGCCAAGTTGTCCTTTCAGTCAAAATTAATTGACTGTTTTTAACAGTTAAGAGCTCCCAGCCTACATAAAGCAGGATTGACTGGCTGTGGCTGTTTATGTAACTTGATACAGCCATGCTTTGACTGTAGGTGATTGATAAGACAGCTGTGGCTACCTCTTGCCTGCTTTTATCTGTTGACTGAATTTGACTAGTCAGAGTGCTTGCTTGAAATATGATCTGACGGTTGGTGACTAGCCTGTGTAAAAGGCATGGCAGGGGAACAGGATTGATTTTTTATTTTGACTGTCTTTGACTGTTCAGACAGCAGGAGGGTTAAGCCTGTAAAGTTTGTGTGTTTGTGCTCTGCTGCGAAGAAAGCAATTAAAATGGAAATGTCTTTCATTTTCTCTGGGTTCAAACAAAAAGTATGTACATTGTACTACAAATTTCAATTATTAATATTATTTCTTCTGTGCAAGCTTGCACGATAAAAATGCAATTCTGTTAAGAAAAAACCCCAGAAAGATATCTGTTTCTGAAAATTGTTGGGACTGGTATATAACACCTTGCTAAAATATGTATTAGCAATCATGTCACTTGGAACAAACTTGTGTGGTTTTTATATTGTGTTTATGTTTTAAAATCCTCTTGAATTTCAAATGAAATGTCAAAATGTTGACCATCATGTAAGTATTAAATTTTTCTCATAAAGACAATCCAGTATTTGTCTGGAAAAAACAACAACTTGAATTTTAAAATTATGCAAATGAATGACAAAGTAATAATATTGCCATTTATTATGTCTTTTACATGAAAATCAAAGTTAACCAGTTCACGCCGAGAATATTTGCACAAGAACGGAATGATGCGCGGGATTACTTTTCACTGGACCTCAAGCCAGGCGGGTTGAAGCCATCACCCTCAGGCAGCACACTCATATTTCTGGCCTCGTTCGCTGCAAGCGGGTTGCTGACAGATATTTTTGGCCTCGCGCCCTGCGTGTTTATCCGTCATCCGTTCCGAATACCGCAACACCTGTGTTCACGTCATCCGGTGCGAACTGGTTAAAGAGGTATTTTGTTCTCTCTCGGCATTTAGAGTTTTCGGAAAATGTCCCTGAAACTCATTTTAGATTGACAGCGTGTATTGAAAATAGTGTTGTGTTTTAATGCAATTACCCGTTTTCTTGCGTCAAGACTTTTTTTCAGTGGATGGTTTTCAAACTTGTCATTTTTCCAAAAATATATTTGCAATTTATTTGGGAATGGCCTTACATTAGAAAAAGATGGAAACATACAGGCCAAAGAAAAGTTTACTCAAGTGTAGAACTGTAAATATGTATAGTAATAAAAGGGTATTTGGATTTGGTTTGCGATTGGTAGAAATAAACTGCTGTAGTGATTCAGATATGGTGCCACTAATTTTCAGTGCAAATTTACTTTTAACTGCCGAGTCTGTCCAGAATTCCATGTGCTCAACGGTCATTTAGGCATCTTCCCTGCAAGTTTCAATCAATGTCAAATTTTCGACCAAAATTGAGAAAATTGCAAGGGGTTAGCCTTACATTTTGATTGGAATTTGGCCAAAAATTTTAAATAACAAATCTGTCCGGAATTCTAGTTGGAGTGTGCTCAAGGGTCGTTGAGGCATCTCCCCTGCAAGTTTTAAGCAATTTCATTTTTCAACAAAAATTGCAAAAAAAATGCAAGGGGTAAGCCTTACATTTTTAGTCAAATTTGGCCGAAACTTGCCTTTTCTCCAAACGACACAGCAATGCCTTTGGATGCAAGAGGAGCATCAATCGACCTTTAAACACCAAC